GGGCGCTCCTAGGCTAATTTCTCTAGCTAGAGTACTCTAAACCTAGATTAATTAGTACTCTACTCCCCTCCCTATACCTAACCTACGCTACTACGCTTTAGAAGGTTTGGAGGTCGTTCTGTACTAATAAGCTTTGCCTTTAAGTATATTATATACCTACTGTAGTTTTAGGCCCTAGAGTAGATATCTAAGTAAGTTATTACAGACTAAATCTATAGTATACTTAGCTGCTTAGGGCTAGCTTTGCTACTTCTATTTTTCCTTAATATCTTGTCTAATCTGCAAGGATAGAGTACTACTGCGAGGCAATAGATCAATATAATCGAGCATCTAAGTAAAGTTATTCGAGTTAGTCCCTAGATTTAGCAGGTATGTATAGGTAACCTAGTAGGACAGTCGTAATATAGTCAAATATAATAGCGTAGAGTATAAGGGCAACGCGAGTATTATAGTCGATTTCTATGGTCTATAGGTTGAATAATTACTCTACAAAGTAAAGAGATTCGTCTCAAAGGAAGGTACCGGAACCGCGGAGATAGCTTTTGTAGAATATACTGTCTAGAGTTCAGGCAGTTAGGGTAGTAATAGGGATCTAGTAGACTAGGGTAATATATATTAGAATAGAGTATCTAGCTCCTCTCTCTCTTTGTCTACTTTTAGATAAGTAACTTAAGTAATATACTACAACATCCCTTTAAGTATAGTTTATTAAAAATTAATATTCACTTCTTATTTGCTTTACTAAAGAGCTATACATCCCTAAGGGTACTTATAGTTAGGTTCATTATACTATGCTAACCGTTTATAGGTTATAAGCGTAGGTTCGTAATTTACTTAAACAAACTATATAAGTATAGGTTACTTATATCCCTAGTAAGAAATTAGAGGCTTCTCTAACTACCTCTGCGGTCCCTGTTCTCGGTATTAAATACAGTCTCAATATATCAACTTTGTATATATATAATACATTTGAACCAGCTACTATAGGGTAGTTCTACTCGCTTTACTTTATTATATCGACCTCAAAAGTAGAAGAGAGATACCTTCCTAGTAGTATTTATATAAAACCAAATACCCTTGCCTATACTACTCAATAATATTGAGAATAGCCTAAATAAGCGCTTATTATTATTTTAGAGGGTATTGACTAGTTGTAGGTCTAGAGGGATTATTGGCCTTAATCAATCTAGCGATGAATCTTCTTACTATAGCTGCCTATAACGGCTATAAAAGCGCGCTAACTATATAAACTCGTCGTCTATATCTATATCTATATCTATATCTATATCTATATCTATATCTATATCTATATCTATATCTATATCTATATCTATATCTATATCTATATCTATATCTATATCTATATCTATATCTATATCTATATCGCTGTAGTCCTTCTCGCCTCTATATACGAACTTCCTTGTCTATAGTAGTATACTATAGAAGTTCCTAAAGGAAGACGAGGAAGTAGTCTAGCTATCTAGCTATCTAGCTATCTAGGAAGAGAGAAAGGAGTAGAGGTAGAGATACAGATAGATAGAAAGAAGAAGATAGAGGTACCTAGAGAGTAGAAGATAGAAAAGCCTAGAAAGGAGAATCTAAGGAAACAGAAGCCTAAGATATCTTGTACTATACATACGAGCGGTGATATAGTTCTAAGGTATCCAACAAAGTTAAAGTAGAGTAGTAGTAGGTCAGACTTTACTATATTGTATATATAGTTGGACTTTATTGTTATTACTATAGATATTAATAAGCTCTATATAAGTAAAGATCACTTTAAGTCTACTATTATTATATATAAAGATATAGAAGTACTACTTATCCTCGAGTATTACTATTATCTAATTGACCGGTGTTCTACTAGTTATAAGCCTAGCGCAAATTTTTATAAACTTATTATACATGTCTTATAGAACTAATATAGTAGTAGTATCTAAGAGCCCTAGCTTAGTAATAATCTCCGCTTTAGCTAAGACATATATCTATAATAATAAGATACTAATAAAATCGTTCTCTTTACTATTAACAGCGATAGTATAGAAGGCCTATAGGATTAAGATTATAGTATATACTAGGGCTAAATGTCTACTTACTATATTTGTCGTTTTTATTGACTATAGAGAGCTAATAGGTAGTATAGTAGCTATTCTTAACGGTATTACGCTTTGGTATTAGTTAGTGGCTAAGTATCTACTATATAAGGTTATCTGTACAATCGTCTCTAGAGTACTTAAAAGGGTACTATCTTTACATAAGTCATTCCTTATCGATACTATACTATAGCGTAATCTATATATAACAATATGTAATTGGGAAGGCGTACATAATAAGGCTTAGGGATCTTATAGCGTAGTCTATAGTAGGTCCTCTACCTCTTTATATCTAGATATTTCAAGACTACAAATATTCATAATCGTATTAACAGCTTATAATAAGGTCTTCTATACCTTGTCAAGTACGCAACTAGCAGTTCTACAAGTAAGAATAGGTATAGCTATATAAATCGATTACAAGTCCCGCGTTGCAATCCTTATAATCTATACTATCGCTAGGTATAGGCCTTAGAAATATAAGAGAGAGGCCTTCCTTGCTACACAATCACCAAACTCAGAATCGTACTACTAAATATCATCCTCTGCCAATTCCTGAATATCCTTCCCTAAGCTAACAACGCTTATTATAAATAGCTTGAGTAAGCGCTTCTTTATTATTGTAGAGGGTCTTAATTAGTTGCAAGTCTAGTGATATTTTAGGCCTTGATCAAACTAGCAGGTATAAGGCCTAGACTTCTTAATAGTACATTAAAAGTTAGTCCCTATAGACTTGGAAGGTATAGAATACTAAATCCAAATCCCCCTTTTTTGTGTCTCTTAATATCTTCTAAACTTTGAACAATTTCTCTGTGGTAATAGGTCTTTTCCTATATCTCCTTTGCCTAGGAGATAAAAAGGCATTATAAGCATTAATTCTAGTATTCGATTTTTGAGGTCTAGTTAACCCTTACATCTTGTCTAATATTTAGAAAAGTTCTCGCTCCTAGTTCTATACGCCGTACAGCCTCTATCTAGGTAATAGATAATCATAACTGGGTATCTATATAAAGGAATCTCTAGTTTTAGCCCTATAGATAAGTCTCAAGGCTATCTTAGAGGGTCGTAATATAGTTAAATATATACTATCTAATAAAGCAAAGCACGCAGAACTACCCTATAGCAATAGATTCAAAGGTAGTATATAAATAATAAGTGTATATAAAGTTAAGAATACTGACTTTCGGAACCGCGGAGGTAGCTCGCGCTTGTATATATCTATCTATAGGCGCGTATCTTGTTTGGCGTCTACTAGTATAGATAATTGTTATTAGTAGTAGATGTTTCTAGAGTCTCTAGATTACCGATCTTTCTAGAGGTTTCTACGATTAGCGCTTTCTCTTTAATTATAGACGACTATAAGACTTTGATTCTTTTGTCTAACTCCTTAGTAGTTTTACTAAGTAATACCCCAAAAGAAAATCTATAACAGTTATAACAATTAGAGCTGTTATTACTAATATTGAATATATAAGTGTTTCCTAGCTTAGGCAGGGTCGCTCCTAAGGCTGTATTTTGAAAAGCAATACAATACTAAGAACAATTATATAATCAATTTACCTAACCTACTTATCTAACCTATATAGTTATATAGTACTTCTTCGGTAATCAGGCTCTGTAGCGTTTTGCTTATATAACCAGGTCACATGACTAGTTGTTAATATAAGATATTACTAAGCAGAGTATCTCTTAGTATCCTTTAGAACCTTATTTCTAGAGAGCTACGTACAGATCTAGAACATTCTCCTTACCTAGTATTTTAGATTCTAGAAGATTGTACGGTCCTCAAAAGCTATATAAGCTTATAAAAATACCGATTATTAATTCCGTCTTCTCTAGAGTTCTTAAAGGATTCCGCCGATTAGTTGTACGCGTGCAATATAGTACTATAGAAGAGATGCAAGGACCTAGAGAATCCCCTCTAGATAGAAGTATAAGAATTAAGCATTTTATTATCTGTCTACTGCTACTCCTACTTCTCCTAGGAGGTACACCTCCTACCTCCTACGATATCTTATACTAAGAAAACATCTCTACTTGCACCAGATGTACTAGATCTTAGGTTTTCAATTTCACGTTTGTGGGTTAAAGGAACGCTGTTATCAATAATACTAGGAAGGTAGTAGATAGATAAGGCTAGTTGGTTGTCTAAGCCGTCGTCCTCTAGAGGAGTTCTATAGCCTCTTAAGGGGCAATTATATGCGGCGGGAGCAAAAATTCTGAATGGCGGGAGGCCAAATTTGCCTAAGGCAGAATGTATATACTATAGGTACTACCTACCTACCTAACTTTTCGAAGAACTGAGACAAGACAAGGTCCCTAGGCAAGAAATAGGCTCGGAGATAGAAATACCTAGGTAATCAAGAGATAGAGATGGAGATAGAGATGGAGATAGAGATAGAGATAGAGATAAAGATGGAGATAGAGTTTGGAGATAGAGACGGAGACGGAGACGGAGACGGAGACGGAGATAGAGACGGAGACGGAGATAGAGATAGAGATGCCTACCTACTAGGTAGGCAATTGAGAAATAGACACGGAGATGGACACGGCGACGGACACGATGGATACGGCGTAATGGACACGGCACGGCGTGCCTTAGGCAAACTTGACCTCCCGCCATTTAGAATTTCTGCTCCTGCCGCATATAATTCCCCCTCTTAAGGTTCAATAGAACAATTTTCAATAAAATAGCTAGCTTAACAAGTTATTGTCCTAGGGGCTTTCTAGAGTGCTTTCTAGAGAGTTTTCGTAAGAACTCTTTAGTGGTCATGTCTCTATTATATAAATAAATTCGGATCTAGATAGCACGAATTAACTCAGATCTATATTTCTTTATTTATGTATATCTAAATTCTAGCTTGCGCGTGTATACAAGTATAGTGTCTCTAAACTTTATTCTGCTAAAAAGGATTTGTCTATCTATTAAACGACGTTCCATACTATCTAATAGGCAAGTCTTAGGGCTATTAAGCGCGCCTCCTCTCTTACCTAAACTATATTTTGCTTTGCAAGCATCGGAAGTCGTTTTATACTAGGAAGAGAGAGATATAAGTGTATTCTTAGGTAAGCATAGTCTGAGGTATACGCATATGCCCTAAACCATATTCTGGTCAAAAGATGTTGTCAAAATAGGCCGATGTTCCGTACTGTTGGTACAGCCCGTAGGACATATTCATACTGCATGGAAGACAAGAGTCAGAAAAAGGGAACAATGGTACTATCAGCGACACTGTGTGACCGCAGATATATCCATTGGTTGTACCTTCCATATGTCATTTGTAGCAGCAGAGTAATCTTCGTATTTTGGTGTTGAGGACGGCGATAAGATCCTGCCAGGGCCTGTCATCTTCGACGAGATGGTACAGTGGATTCAACATCCATTCGGAGGAAGTAAAGTGCCATTTTCATCACACAACTCGTCTTTTACTCATCCAGTTTGCTCTGCCAGTGTCACCCCCTCAGCCCAGTCTCGTGTCTCGGCGCCCTCATCAATCGTCTCATCAACCTTTGCTACTGCGGTCTCCGCTGCAACACTTTCGTCACTACTGGAACCCTCCAGAGGGAGCGGGTCTCGAGATCTCTCGACGCCCAGTGCTTCTCCCTCGCTCGCACTAGCATACGCGATGCGCTCTTTTTCCTCTTCTTCCACTTCCGCTGCTTCCCAATCATCCACGACCGGCGCAGGTCTGCGCTTCACTACCTTGGCCAGCGGAGCCTTCTTCGCGAATGTGACTTTGCCTCCGGATAGCGCGGAAAAGGCATTGGTAGTACCATAAGTGTTGCTTTGGAGTGCGATCCTCGGCGCCGACTTCTTGGCAGCAACTCTCGACCAGCCATCGCTACCCATGCCATCGGACTCGAAGCGCGTGATATTGAGTGAGCTATCGGTCGTGCATAGCTGCATACTACCATAACTACGATCGGCAATCTTGGTACCGAGTGGATCTTTCAGATTGAGCAACATACGCTCGAGATCTTGAGCTGACAGCGTGCGACTGATAGCCTTCAACACAACGTCCTCGCTGGGCAGAAACTCGATATCGAAGGTGAATGGATAGGCAGTACGCAAGACTGTTTCAACTTCCGATCGGACCTCTTCAATCGTAAGCCCAAAGCGTGGCTTGATGATGCGAAAGCTGTTGAATGGCTCAAAGGTCTTTGACGCAGACTTTACTGGCGCGCCCTCGTTGTCCGAGGCGTTGGTACTAGCATAGACAGACCGCTGAGCTTGCTGCCGTAATCTCAACGAGTCCGCGAGCGTCTTGTTTGGCGCAGAGACAAATCGCGGGGTCTTCCAGATCATGACGTGACGATGAGGCTCCGGGTCAAGACTTTCAGAGTCCAAGCCAAAATCCTCTGCCAGAGAGTGAATAAACGAGCGCTGTTGCGCAGACATGGGCTTGAATCGCAGACGCTTCTCATCGTCGGAAGCGGCGAAAACGCGGAATTCTCGTTCCTGCACCTGGCCCCACTTGGGATGTGCTGCGAACAGGTCTAAAGTGTCAGTTGAGAACGGAATATGATCGCCGCCATCAACATGGGTGGATTGGTCAATGTTCAATGCCACTGCCAGCTTGCGGTTCCGTTCGAGTCGCGCACAGTCCTCTGTGCAGGGCAGAGATTTCAGGTTGTTGCCTTCGGTTGTGCTTGACGCACCGCACTTGATCTCCTGCTTCTGCGCTTGACACTCGCAGGTGATGAAGATCTTGCTATTGCAGGGCTTGATTTCCTTGCAACCAAATGGAGCGTGGCAAGGCGCCTCGTCCGGATGTCCACAAATTTTCTTCTCCTTGCCACAAGGCTGAGCACAAGCCTTTCCTCCAGCGTCCTCACACTGACCCTTGCGATGGCATTGCTTGCGGCAGAAATGCACCCCGCACTTTAGTTTCTGGCCGCACACATTGCCACAGCTGACATCGCGAAGCCAGCATTGCTGATTCTTCAGTGCCTTCTTGCCGCACATGCACATCTTGGGTGTGAGAAATGGACATTTGGGGCAAGTGTCTTCATCTGAGTGACAGTTGTGAGCGACTTGCGGATGGCCACAGCTCTTTGGCCGTTCGCATGCATAGCGACAAGGGGGTGGCTGAGTACCACACGGCAGTGGCGGTTGCAATACAGTGCGCTCGCAATGACAAGTGATTTCGTCGAAGATAGCCTCCCTGCAGGAGCCACAAGGACCTTTGTGACAGAGCTCTTCGCAAGAGTGGTTGCCACATTTGAGTGGCCGGCCGCACTGCCGAGTGCAGATGTGCTCAGCTTCGTAGCCCTCTGCCGCCGCGCGTGGTGCGGAACCAAAAGGTCTGCCCTTCTTCCGGCTCGCTTGTCGCTCACGGGCCTTTTGTTCCCCTGCACAGCAGTGTTCGTCGCACATGTGTCTACCACAGTTGAGCGTAGAGCGACAGATACGCATGCATTGAGGTGGCTCATCTCGCCCTTGATGGCACATGGTAGTGTGCGATGACCTTCCACATCGACAGCTGATGGTGACTGTGCGTAGGCACGAACCACAATCGCCAACGTGGCATACTTGCGGGCAGGGATGACCACAAGGGAGGCTTTTGTCGCATGGCTTGGAGCAGCTTGGAATATCATCTTCACACGATGTTCGCGGAGCATCCGATAACTCGTGAAGTGGCGTTTTCCCGCAGGAGCAATGTGTGACGACATCAGGTGATCGCGGACAATGGCCAGAATCCGCGTCTTGAGGGTGACATTTCTTTACGCACTGGTGATGGTTGCAGTCGAGTGTGCGACCGCAAGTACTGCCACAGTTAAACACCCCAGTCCAAGTCTCCAATACGGTTTCCGATCCTTGCAAATCTGTAGCACTTTCTGTTACTGCCAAATCCGACAGACTATGTTTTCGATTACTTTCCACAGGCAGTCCTCGATCGCTGCACAGGACGTCTTTCTCCATCTGCCCGCAGTAGCATCTTGCGGGAAGTCGAATCTCACAAGGTCCACAGGGGCCATCGTGGCATGCTTGTGGACAAGTGTGCTCTCCGCAGGCCATGACGGATCCGCAAACCTCACCACAACTCCAGCCGGACTCGTAGTTGGTCTCCATGCAGCGCTTGGTTGATTCGTGGGAACCACAGTAGCAGGTCTTGGTCGGGCCCATGTGTGTGCAGGGCGGGCAAGGTCCGGCATGACAAGTCAATTGGCAGGGATGAGGACACTTTCGTGGTCTCTCTTTGCCGCAGGTCTGTCCGCATGAGTGTGGCGGGATGCCTTGCAGTGGTCTCGGCTCAGTCTCTTTCTCGCACCAACAAGAGTACGAGTGAGGCAAGTCGTCCTTGGGTAGATTGCAGCCTGGACATCTCCACTGCCGCATCTGTGGTTCACCATTGGTATTTGACTGTGCAGCGGCCGCTCCAGCGTTGGAAGACCACTGCTTAATGCATTTGAGATGAAAAACGGTCCAACATGTGTGACATGACCACACCTTGGAATTGCGCAGCACTTCACTGGTGCAGATGGCACATTCGTAATGGCGATTATCGATGTCTTCGTGGGTTCTCGTAGCGATGTCGGGAGCCTGGGACTTTGACATGCGTCGTTGCTTGGTCTGTCGATGCGATCTGGGATCACGCTCGATGGGCTGCTTTAGGGGTACATTTTGAACATGCAGCTGGCCTGGCACAAAAACCGGCGCTGCTGCTTGCAGGTTCCCCGTGGAAGTTTGCGAGGTGGTCGTATCCGCTCGCGTGAGAGCGCCTCCAAACGTCCTGCCATTGACAGTGGTGCGATTCTGTGGCGCTTGACCACCACCTCCTCTCCCAGACCGGCCACGACCCCGACCACCGCCACCGCCACCGCCACGCCCACCTCGTTGGCCGACTCCATCTGGGATAGTCTGCCGGTCATGTACCGGAGCAGCAGGTGCGATACTGGCAGGTCGGAATGCAAGTGCAGCATCATCGCCGCCTCCACGTCGGGATCCTCGGGCACGTCTTGGCTGTCGTCGTCGATGTGTAACTTCCGAGTCCGCAGGAGCTCCCGTGTCCATTGTTGGAGGTGGTGAGAGTTAGCAGGCAACTTAGAGTGGTGGATGTCCAAGGGAGTGAGGTAGGTAAGCAAAGGAAAATGCAGGCTCTGGTAATGTCGGCCTGGCTGAACAAGATAAAATATAAGATAGCCAGCACATACGTCGGCAGCACGGAGGAGGAAGCGACAGCAAGTGAGTCCCCGTGGATCACGAGTACCACATGAAAGTTGAGGAGTAGGAGGAGGAGGAGGCGGAGGAGTGAACAGTCCGTAATATTTGTCGTTTGTGAGGTGGCGAAATGGATTGGATGACTGATGATGGAGAAGATGCTGGTGGAACCGTTCGTGGTGGACGCTAACCGTATATGGCGAACGGATGTCGGCAAGCGGGAGGCGGGAAGAGCTTCAACTTTCCACAGATTGTGAGGCAAGCGCGCGTGTCCATCCGCACGGGACGCGTCCTGTCCCTCTCCCGCCGAGAGCTCAGGTACCTGACCTGACCTGACCTCACCGTCCTGTCCGCCCTGTCCGTCCGTCCGTCCCTACCAAACACTTCCGTCCTGTCGCAGGATGGCGGCAGCACAGGCAGAGCACGCCTTGGGGTCGCCGTCGCCGCCGCCACCGCCGAGTCAAGGCACGAAGAGGTCGCACCATCAGTCGGAGCAGCACCAGAACGACAACGACAACGACAACGACAATGCGAATGCGTCGAGTGACAGTGACGATGACCTGGGTCCCGCCCTGCCGTCGGCGGAAGCACCCAGGAAGAAGCGGCGACGACTGCCATATGAGAGGCAGCATGTCGCCGCTCTGCCCTCCGCCACCCGTTACGCCCGGTCGCTGATGCACCGCGACCAACTCTCCGCCTGCACCTTCACCCCGCACACCGACTTCCTCGTTACCACCTCCGTCGACGGCTATGTCAAGTTCTGGAAGAAGACGTCCGGCGCCATTGAGTTTGTCAAGGAGTACAAGGCCCATGACGGCGACATCAAGAGTGTCACCGTGAGCGCCGACGGGCGGAGCTATGCCACTGCGGGACTCGACAACACCATCAAAATCTTCGATGTGGCCACTTTTGATCTGCTGGCCATGCTGGAGCCACGAAAACCGCCCAAGGCCATCTGCTTCGTGCATGGCCACGGCACTTCGTTTCCCCTGCTCGCCGTGTCGAACGAGGCCGATGGTGGCATCAATATCTACGATGGCCGAGGCGAGAATCCCGATCCCATGCACACCATTGCCTCCCTCCACCGACACTCCGTGCATATCATGACGTACAATAACGCGTACGACTGTGTCTTGTCCGCTGATGAAAGTGGTATGCTCGAGTACTGGCAGCCCTCGGCTCCTTTCGGAAAACCGAGTAATGTGTGGGATATGAAGAGCGCTACCAACCTGTTTGACTTCAAAAAAGCAAAGGCCGTTCCGTCCTCAATCTCGATATCCCCGTCGGGGGAACAATTTGCCACATTCTCATTTCCAGACCGCAAGGTCCGCATCTTCCACTTTGCCACCGGCAAGCTGCATCGCACGTACGATGAAAGCATAGCTACTATCAACGACATGCAGCAAGCGGGAACTTTGAGCGCGACCCCGCTAGATGCCATCGAGTTCGGTCGCCGAATGGCTGTAGAGCGAGAGCTCGACCATCCTGCACTTCGATCACGATTCAACGTCATCTTTGATGAAAGTGGCCATTTCATTCTCTACGGTAGCATCCTGGGCACCAAGGTCATCAATACCTTCTCGAATCGTCTCGTCAAGCTCTACGGCCGTGACGAACCCTTTCGCCCTCTCCATCTCGCCCTCTATCAAGGCCAGCCCGACAAGAAAGCCTTCACGACGGTCCAAATGGCTGCGTCCGAAAATCCCCTCCTTGCAGAGGCAGCTGCACGAGACGCCATGCTGGTCGCGACAGGATCGGGCAAAGTCCGCTTCTACATGTTCACAAACGATGACGGTGTATCCAAATCGGATCGAGACATCCACAACGAGAAACCTCGCACGATAGGCACGAACAAGAAGAAGGAGGAGGCGGAGCGCGAGGCCAATATGGGCACCACTGCCACCATCCACACGACCATGGGCGACATCAGCATCCGCATGTTTCCTCAGCACGCACCCAAAGCCGTGGAAAACTTCACTACGCATTCCAAGAACAACTATTACAATGGCATCATCTTCCATCGCGTGATTCGCAAGTTCATGATACAGACGGGCGACCCGTTAGGTGACGGCACAGGCGGGGAATCCATTTGGGGGAAAGAATTCGAAGATGAGTTTACGCCGGAACTGAGGCATGACAAGCCGTACATGGTCAGTATGGCGAATGCAGGGCCCAAGACGAATGCGTCGCAGTTCTTCATCACGACCGAGAGGGCGCCGTGGTTGGATGATAAACACACCATTTTTGGGAGGGTGGTCAAGGGCATGGATGTAGTGCATATGATTGAGAATGTCAAGGTATGGAAAGAGAAGCCAGTGGACGATATCAAGATCGTGAATATCAGTGTAGAGTGACTACTTTCCATCAAAGCCTTCTATCATCCTACATGCCAGGCAGCTGTCGAAGAAGATCGATTGATCTCGACAACACCACGACTGTATGTACTAATGCATCAAACCATAGATCTTTCGCTACTGGAACACACCCAAGTACCAACAATGGACGAACTCTTTCTCACACGAAGCGACCTCCCTGCCCGCTACACTTTTTTGACTCCTCGTTGGACAGCTCTGGCGCATGTAAGCTATAACGAAATTGATCAAATCACTTAGGCAAGGCCAGAAATAGACCCCGGATGCATACGGAAGGACACTGGGATTGGCATCGAGCAGGCAGGCAACTCAACATATCTTGCTGAGGAGATTGTTGGCGGGTTCAGCCGGCATGATAAACGGGTAGCGATGATTCTGGTGAGTACCTCTTTCTGTAGTGCTAAGTGTATGGTATGTATGCCTCATAGAATGGTCAATGTAGTACACTGCTACAGTATTGGTTGACATGCAAGCGACGGCATTGCAGGGCCCATTCTATGCCAGCCAATACAAGGATCTGTGTAGTGACGAGTGCGCAAAGGCAGAGATGTGATGAATAGTAGGTACCTGAGGTGTGCAAAAGTCGATTCGTTCTTGGCATCATCTGCTGACCCGTTGGTACATCTTTAGGTTAGCTTGTCCCCCCGAAGTCGAGATGGTGGAAAGTGAGGACACAGTACCGCCCATTGTCTCGCTCCAACGTATAGGTATGACATGTAGCTAGTGCCACTGGCTGCAATGTTCTTCATCGACATCTACTGCGAATACCAAGACCAATTCTACGCCAAGCAAAAACCACTTCCTCCGGCATGCCACACAACCCATCCACGCCCGCCATGGGTTATTCTCAAGCATCGATGTCCGACAACGCGCCTACTCCCAAACTGCCAGCCATCAGGATCACGCATGCAAAGATCGTCGAGCAGAGAATGCGGGATGATCCATTTTGGGGAATGCCGCGAAAGCCGCAACAAGACTACATCTGGAGTGCAGAAGACATCAAGGCCCACAGCGACAACAATGCATGGATCCGGAGCTTACGAAGCAACATCTGTTGCGCTCATCTCGCTCCCCGTGTCGCTTGCGCCTGCACCACCTGCGAGGCGGAGGAGGAGAAGTTGCATCAGATGCAGGCACAATTCTGGGCGGATCTGAAGCACTGAAATTAGTGAATGGTGGTGGAGACGATGTAGTCAGTCAGCAGTTACAGAATGCAGATAGCACAGGGCATGCATGATGAATCTTGTCTGCGAATGAATTTCCCCGTTCGTGGCTAGCAGCTGTCGTCGACCCTTGGAGAAAGGGTATGAGCCTCAGGTTCTCATATGTGGGCGTCATATTGTTACCGTGGTTCGGCTCTGATATACTTTGTTTAGATGTGTTTGTGTGTGCGTGTGGAGCGAGCCAGTCCTGTGTGTAAGGGGTCAAGCGCAGGGCTCCGCTGCGAACCATAGACCGATCACAAAATGAGGACCGCATCAATGCTCCGGACCACTTTTGGCATCGATGAGAGAAAGAAAGAGATACGGAAGGCGCAAAACATCACGTTCCAGGCGGCCAGCTACCAAGATCATGTCGCCGTTCATTCTTATATATTGGTCATATGCAGTTCACTCTTCTTTTTTTCCCTTTTTGTTCCAGACTACCTCTTGTACGCCAGAAATCATTGTATCGCTTTCGACGCAGCTACTGTTATCGGATATCAGCAGAAAACTGTCTTCAATCTCTCACGTCTCGGCGCCTACAACAACAGCAACAACAACGGCTTCAATCGCTAGCACTATCTTAGCCGTCATCTTACATCCCGCCGCCCTCCTCCCGAAAGGATCACTCGTTCCTTTCTCCTTCCTCCACTTCGTGCTCAGCACATCCCGTCATCGCCCGTGCAACTTGGGCCCAAATGGTGGTAGCCACCCGTAACGACGTCCCATCCGAGGAGTGCCCCATCTGCTTCGAACCGCTGCTCATCAGCTGCGCGATTCGTACTCCCTGCGGACACCGCTTCTGTCGAAGATGCCTCGACCAGTGGTGGGATCGATCATCCCTCTGCCCGCTCTGTCGCCAACCACTGTTCCAATTCCCGCCGGCTCATGCGTATCTCCGCTATGTGAGCCAGGTCCGTGCACAGCTTTCGCACGATCCCGAGATCTTCATCTGCTTCACGGATATCGTGGCCACGTACAAGCGTGGCGAGATTACCAGACAGAGCGTGCGCCATCGCATTGGCACACTGTTTGCAGAGTTTCCCCTGCTCATTCAAGGATTCAATGAGTTGATGCCTGCTCATGTACAGATCTGATGATGATGATGGTGGTGGTGGAAGAAAGTCTGCAAGATGTCCTTGGAAAGTGCATGAGTAAACTCCGTCTTGGACCCCGAGAGTACCCGGGGTACATACTCGAGCATATGGAAGAGGGAAACTTACCGTGCGATGGACTTGAGACATCCCGGGAGCAAGCCGACGTCATGCTGGATTCTTTCATCTGTTACACAACCACCAGACGATGTCCTTGTGGAAGCAAAAAAAAAAAGTGCAGATGTCGGGACATATAGGGCAAGCTTGGAAAGGAGAGAAAGGGGAAGGGGGCCGACCGGTTTCATGTTCAAGGCGCGCGCAAGATATGGAGAGCCTGGTGAGATTTCTTTGGCGCAGAGGGAGATACATTTTGAGTAGCTGGTAGCTATCGCAAATTCAGAATGACCGCACTACTGAGCGGTAAAGTCACCGTCACTCTCCCGTTTCTCACAGCCACGTGCTCATCACACGTGACATTTTGCAACCGCACCGGTCTGCCACTGTCCAGCTCCGCCGCATAGCTGAAGCCATCGAATGTCACTCCGGTGATGGCATCGCTTCCATTGGCACTCAAGCGCTGCAGCGAAGCCTGACGGTATCCGCGGGGAAGCTGAAAGGTGTACGACTCGGTCGGGCGAGCGGCGCTATCGCTCGTCGCATTCCACGCTCGCAGATTGAGGAGAGCAATCTTGGACAATCTGCCTCGTGTGTACAGCGCGAAAGCGGATTGATCCGAGCCAGGCAGACCCAGATCCGCGATTTGTGGACGATGCTTCGTGCTGAGATCTCCTAGAAAGGCAGCCGCGGCGATGTTGCCATAATAGGGCGCTTTCGTTCCTTTGGTCGTGTTCCTCGTCTCCACGGGCTGCCAGGCTTGGTAGCGATAGTTGGTGCCTTGATGCACATGCCATCGTCCAATGCCATTCGCCACCAGAGTGAGAGCATAGTCGAAGCCCCAGAGTGCAGCACCGAAGGAGTTGGAGACGCCGCCAATGCCTTGTCGAGCCAAAGAATTGCCTTCGCCCAGGATGAAGGCGGCGTTTTGGGGCCGAAGAGTCTCATTGGAGATGGCTTGAATCGATGCGGAGACGGCTAACAGCTCGCTGACCGCCCTCTTGTTGTTGGTGTGGTTCATGAGTGTTCCTTGCAGTGAGAGACCCGCATCACCACGAGCGGCGATATACCTACGGTAACCGCTGTCAGCGACGAATCACGACATTGCGCTGCATATTCGGGGAACAGGAGGGGGGGAGGGGGACTCACTTGTGTTGAGAAATCATGCTGATGGACTCTTCGCTATTGTAGCCGGCGGAGAAGACTTTGGGGGCGCTGAAATTGCTCAAAGCTGGATTACCCGCAAGCGATGGGCCCCAGAACCTTGGATGCTGGTGCTGGGCCAGATCGGGACATGAGGTTTGCATGTGACGGCGCATCCTTTGTGATAATGCGAGCCATTCTGCCACATACTGTGCTTCCGTATATCCCGTCTGACGAGGAGGAGTCGGATTCAAAGCTTTGACGGCGTAAAAGTCGGGTTCGTTTCCGAGCTCCCAGGCATACAGCTTGTCTCGTAGGGTACGGCAGGCATAGTACACGGAGTCGAGCACAGCCTGCTGGTGTTCGGGAGCTGTCGCGGCCAAGTTGAAGCCGTGACTGAACAGTACTCCCGGCCAGGTCAGGTAGGACTCGAAGAAGGCGGGGCCGATGGTCTGGTTGGCAGGATAATCGGGATTCGAGGCGGAGAACTGCTGCTCCACAGCTTGCTTTTGGGAAGAGTTGAAGATGGTGAGGTCTTGGGTGTTCCCGCCGACGCGAACCAAGGGTTTGCGTCCGGCATAATGGGCGATGTTTTCCAGCAGGGTGTCCGAGTAGGTGTTGGGGTGGGAGAGATTGCCAGCGTAGTCGACAAAGGACGAGAACTCGATGGAGTAGGAGAGGAATTGGTCCAAGGGCGTATTTGCATGCAGCGGCGGGGCCGAAGGGATGGTGGTGATGATATCGGTTGATCGAGCGAGTACAGCCATGAGAGTCATGGGGGACAATGCGGGGAGGAGCTTCATGCTGTCGTCGTCGTCGTCGTCTTCGGAAGGGAAGGTTGTCGTGAGCTCAGCATATACCTCTCTACCGCCCACACTCTCACTTCTCCAACAGTCGGTGCTGGATTTCTTCTCCCACAATGATGGACACTCATGATCCCTTTAATAGTCTCGCTGTCATCGGATCTGGTTCTGGTTGGAGGCCGGAAATAGACAGGTCCGCCGAGGCCAAAGCCAAGGAAGGGAAGGCGTTGGTTCATGATTGTGTGTACATTAGCTATACTCGGCTGACCTGCAGTGGGCGGTGGTAGTAAGGGATCAGCCATGTCCGTCGGCCAATAGTCGATTGATATTGATTGCGTCGTGGTCAGGGCGTGGTGGTAGACGACACTGCCTGAGGCTACATCTCCTACTACCCCATCTTTTCGTGCACCCGACCAAGCACGGATGGTTGTGGAGTGCATGAAGAGAAGGGGCGGAAAGGTGGGCAGAAGGCGGGGTTGTCACCCAAATCCAGGATACCTTTACATGTACCTTTTCTTCGTCTTCTTCTGCTGCTGCTGCTGCTGCTGCTGCTGCTTCATCATCTTCACCTCCATGTCAGATGTATCGAGATCTACCCGATGGAAGCGATGCGGTAGACATGTGCAGCGTTGCCGAGGTGTATACCATTTCCATCCATCATTGCCTTGGTACCTTATCAATGTATTGAATTCCGACGTAGGTGGGCTTGATCCTCTTGGCCATGGCGTTGCGGCTGATCTCGTCGGCGACACGTTCCATGGACGACTACAAGCGAGGGTGGGCATGGTCCCGCTGGATGTAGAAAGTCGCCGACAGTGGGACATTTCTTGTGTAGATATCGGGAGGGGTGAAGTCTGAATTAGTTCAAGCTGAAGCCCTGATGGTAGCACTAAAGGGTCAGGTAGGGATCAGACATTTCCGTCTGCAGGCATCAATAATTAGATTTATCTGTCTGCTGATGCCCGCCACGCCTCTTCCTTTTCTTCTTCCTCTTGTTTTCCCGACCTCATGTCATGTATATACTGTATGATGCTGCTCCGAATGATGCCCCCATCACCATCTTCCATGCTACAGAATCAATCTTCGCTACATGTAGGTACTCTACAATACCTACCTGTACGCTGACAAGACCAAAGCAGGATAATGACGCCCTCTGAAGACATCTCCATACTCCAGACAGCCAATGAGGCTCCTACTTGATGCATGCACCACAATACTGTATACGCAGGTACAGTAGAGTAGGTAGATGATGGGCTGCTTCATCTTCTACACGTGGTGTAATAAGCTTTCTGGCGCGCATTCCACGCATCTCATGCAGGAATGTCCGTGTTGCCGCGAGGGATGTCCCACTCACCAAAAATCACAGTCAGAATCAAAGAAGGGGAGGATGTTCACATCTGGACAAGTGTAAGTAAGGTGTACGGTAGGAAGTAGGAAGTAGGAAGTACGGGCAGTTACGAGACCCCTGCGAATACTCCCCCTTCTCTTCCCTATCTTCTTCATGGACATGCGACAACCGTTTACCAGGCCCAAACTTTGCGACGTCGTCCACCTCCTACTACCACCACTGGACCGTCCCTTACCTCCTACGTCCACAGCGTCCCTTCTTCATTGGAGACGGCCCAGATCTTGCCGCGTGCGCTAATCTTGCGTCTCCCATGATTCCCCCGAGCAGATCCCCCCCTATCACCACATACACACACAACCTTGAAGGTACACACGCACACAAGCCAGACACTCGACATCATCATTAGGTATTATTATGGAACAGTTTGCGATCAAGCGTCCGGTCCGATGGATCCCCATGGGAGCTGCTCTGTCGGTCGGCCTGGTGTTGTTGCTGTTCATGTATCACGGTACGTGCATGTGTGCACTCTCCCGTTTGGGAATATTGCTGACTGTTCATTCGCAGGATCAATAACCACTTCGATCCCTTTCGCGACACATAATCGCTACGACAACTCCAGGCCTCAGATCCCATTGCGATTGCTCCCGCTTGGCGACAGCACCACCAAAGGGGGCATGTTCGATGGCGAAAACAGCTATCGTCCTGCTCTGCGAAATCTGTTGATTGGTTCTGGTAGGTACCTGACCTATTCTGTGCGTCTCGTCATGTCTGGCTCCCATATTCATTGACCCTTGCACCACAGGTCGCACAGTCGATTACATTGGCAACTTGACCAATGGCGACCATCTAGATAACAAACACGAAGGGCACGGCGGAGCTCTCATCAGCGAGATTCAGGCTTTCATTGCCGAAGACGAGATCCTGCTGCAGCATCCCAATTTGGTATTGCTCCATGCAGGAACCAATGACATGAACAGCGTCTTCGGCTTGGCCCCGCAGGAGCCCTACGAGGAAGGTCCTGCGCGATTAGAGTCTCTGGTCGATGCGGTCCTGTGTGAATGTCCCGATGCAGTCGTAGTCGTGTCCAAAATCATCCGTAACACGTCATGGCAGACGAGAGTGGACGCGTTCAATGCGGCCATCGATGACATTGCGGTGCGACGACAGGCCAAGGGTTATAAAGTGTGGGTGGCCGATCACTCGGCAATTGGAGGGTGAGTTCCCTTCTCCTTCTCCTTCTGGTACACGTAGAGGCTGTCACCGGATATTCTTACTGACGGCCAGACAGATCAGACCTGATCTCAGATGGTGTGCATCCTTCTGTTCTCGGCTACGAGAAGATGGCGCTGGCATGGTTCCAGGCGATACAAGAATTTCCATCAGATTGGGTACAACCTGCGAGAGCACCAAGCCTGGAACCTGCCCCGGAATGCCGCGCGAGGAGTCGTTCATGATACCAGCGCAAAATTTGTAGTTCTCTAAATGTATTTGTACGCCATCATACATGCATTCCATGGCTGACCTGTCCACGAAGCATGATTCGCTCTCTCCAACCTACATACCTAGGTACCTGTACCTTACCTCCGTACACGCTACTTTCACCGGAGCAAAACCGGCTAGTCTTGACTGGAAACAACATATACATGTCACAGAGGCAGAGCTGCAGCGAGGGAAAGGGCTCAATCATGCATTATCTGTCGGCCTCTGAGCACATCGGTATAGGTGTAGTAGGTACCTACATGTAGCTTGTTGAAGGTTCAAGTGGCAGGTTGGCGGGAAGCCTTTGCACAGTTGTGTAGAATATGATTATGCGGATAAACCGTTTCACCGTTCACCGAGACAGCCAACGCGTGCACAGCGTCATCGGTGTGCCTAGAACCTTGAATGAATGTTTGGTCCGAGTCGAGCATCTCCTCTCGCCCATCCTTATACTTCCTCCTCCTCCCACCACCTCCGCCATCACCGCCACGACGACGACGAAGCTGTGTGACTGATATGCACCGCGATGGACGACTCCTACCCCTACTTCACCCAAGGGAAAGACGGCGGTGACCACGACCATGATCCCTGGGGGGACCTGGTGGGCGCCACAAATCCTCGCGACACCACCATTCAGATTGTGCTCTCGCTGCTGCTGGGCATTGGCGCCTTTCTCGCCTTTTGCTTCCTGCGACCGCGATGGAAAGATCTCTATGCCGCGCGGAAACGGACGAAGAATGCGGCCGTGTCGCTGCCCGAACTGCCCGACACCACGTTTGGTTGGATCATGCCCTTGTGGAGGATCACGGATCAGCAGGTCCTGGCCAGTGCTGGTCTGGACGCATACGTCTTCTTGACCTTCTTCAAGATGGCCATGAAGTTCCTGCTGGTCACCCTGCTGTTCTCGCTCATCGTCATCAAGCCCGTCCACGATGCCTATCCGGACGATGACGATGACGACGATCCGAGAGGAAACGGGACGCACTCCAATCACACGGACGTACTCGTCAGGATGGGCTTAAAGCGATCGATGAATCTTTTAGAAGGGAACGGGACTGGTGGTGGTGGCAACTGGACTGTGCCTTTCTTCCCTGATAACCTAGAGACAGACTACCTCTGGATGTACGTCGTCTTTGCCTACCTCTTCTCCACCATTTTGATCTATCTGGTCATTGCAACGACCAGACAGGTAATCGAGGTGCGCCAGGAGTTTCTGGGAACACAGGCTACAATCACCGACCGGACGATCCGGCTGTCGGGCATACCCAACGAGCTGCAGGATGAAGAAAGAATCAAGGAGTTCATCGAGAACCTAGAGATTGGTCATGTGGAGAGGGTATTGCTATGCAGGAATTGGAAGGAGCTGGACGACGCGATGGCGAAGAGAATGGATTTGTTGAGACGACTGGAAGAGGCGTGGACAATACATCTAGGCCATCAAAGACTCCAGCGAGATCTCGAGACTCTGCCCATCGCACAGGCGCCAGACCAGGAGGGCAATACTGATGATGACGCTGGTGAGAATGGAAATCTGATCGGTACTGGCGGAAGTGTTATACGGCCATTTAAGAGGCCACGGCCCATGGCAACCATCCGGTATGGACGTTTTGGACTGCGCAGGAAGCAGGTGGATGCCATTGACTACTACACGGAACGGCTTCGTGAAGCCGATGAAAACGTGCGGCGGCTCCGTAAGCAGGAATTTGCGCCGACCCCTCTAGCCTTTGTCACCATGGACTCGGTGGCATCCTGTCAGATGGCGATACAGGCGGTGCTGGACCCGTCACCTCTGCATCTCATTGCAAACCAGAGTCCAGAGCCAGTGGACGTAATCTGGCAAAACACCTACATATCACGCAGAGGACGCGTGGCGCGGAACTGGACCATCACAGCATTGATCGTCTTCTTGACCGTCTTCTGGTCTGTGCTGTTCATCCCCATTGCCGCTCTGCTCAACGTCGAAACGATTGGCAAAGTCGTTCCGGGGCTGGCAGAAGTGTTGAAAGATCATAAGAATATACGCTCACTTGTCAACACGCAATTACCGACCGCCATCACGTCCTTATTCATGGTGCTGGTGCCATACCTATACTACTACCTATCCTGGTGCCAAGGTCAGATCTCCAAGGGCGACATCGAGCTTTCTGCCATCTCGAAGAACTTCTTCTTCACCTTCTTCAACTTCTTCATTGTCTTCACCGTCCTGGGCACGGCGTCCAAGTTCTATGAAGTCTTTGCCAAGTTCGGCGATGCGATTCGAGACATTCAGAAAGTCGCCTGGACCATGGCGTACTCGCTGGGCAGATTGCTGAACTTCTATGTCAACTTCATTATCCTGCAGGGCGTCGGCCTCTTCCCATTCCGCATGCTGGAGATTGGCAGTGTGTCGCTCTATCCCATTATGCTCATGGGCGCAAAGACCCCTCGAGACTACGCAGAGCTGGTGCAGCCACCCGTGTTCAGCTATGGCTTTTACCTACCGAACGCCTTGCTCATCTTCATCATCTGCATGGTGTATTCCGTGCTTCGATCGTCATGGCAAGTCCTGCTCGCGGGCTTCCTCTACTTCGCGCTTGGCCACTATTGCTACAAGTACCAGCTGCTGTACGCCATGGACCACCGCCAGCAAACTTCTGGACGAGCGTGGACCATTATCTGCGAGCGCATTTTCATCGGCATGATTCTGTTCCAGCTGACCACAGCCGGACAGCTCATCCTCAAAGGCGCCCTCGCACGCAGTGTCATGATGGCTCCCCTTTTGGTCGCCACAATATGGATCATGGTGGTCTACGGCAAGACCTACAAACCACTCATGAAGTTTATCGCATTGTCAGCAGTGAGACGGAACGAGCACTACGAGCACTATACTGATGTACAAAGTAACACGCCCGAATACGCAGCCAGCTTGAACAGCACGAATCTTGCGCCGGAAACGAATATATGGGCCGGCGGAGAGGGCAGAAATGACATGGAGAGCGGTGGTGTGACCCTTGCTGTGCGTACCGACGAAGAAGGCGCGAGGAGAGAGCGAAATCTACCTTTTGTCAATCCGAGTCTGGTAGCACCGCTGGACGCTGCGTGGATCGCGGATAAGCCGACGAGCACGCAGGCCAGGCTGGTCGACACTGGAAGTGATGATGGTGGGGACGAGGAGGAGCACGATGGCCGTGACGGTGTCGTCTGAGATTGATCTAAAGTGGAAGGCGATTTCTTTTACTGGACATGAGAGCGCACGATACCCTATATGCATTGTTTGCTTTTGTGCTGCTGCCTTTTGAGCGTAGATCAAGTATAGAGAATGTGTAATGGTATACTGTACAGCTGCAGGACCCTATCCATCTATACATCAACCGAAGCGATGGATCTCGATACCGAATTGTGATGGTGTTGGTGGTGGTGAGCCGGATGTACCGTGATTGCCGCGAGTGCCAGCCAGCCATCACCAGCTCGAACAGCCATTGTTGTGTGCCTCCTAGGAAGCGTCACCAACTGATGGATGGTACACTACATTGACGCGACAAGAACCCACTCCTCACCATGTCTGCAGCAGAGGAAGCAGAGAGCTCTACGAATGTAGCAGGAATTGTGCTACCTCCACTTACACGAAGTAGGGTAGGGGCTGCCTTGAGTGAGTACAACAATTTACTAACATTAAAAATCTATCAGGAATTCACAAGTTCCAGGGAATAACGTGCGGCATCGCTAATAACTAGCCGCTATGGCTGGCCACCTGCATCATGTCTGGGGTTTTTGCGGGGATAGCATACTTTTATACTCCTCCCATACCAGCTGCATTCGTCCTTTACCGTAATAGTGAAGGTTTTGGTTAGAGGGGCCTGCCACAATACTGCCAATGAAGCTATTGGATGCCTATAATTTCGGTCACATGCATCGCCCATGGCGTCGTCCTGGGAGGAGGAGGTGGTGCTGGTGGTACTTCTGAAAGTTATTCCCGCATGGCAGAAGCGGTTTGACCAGCATAAGGTCAGTCCAGAGCCCCCATACGATTCGAAGTAAGCTGCCTCATACCAATAAATCGTTCTCTCCCACCTCCTGCTCGCTGAGCTGCCTCAACTCTGCAAATGGTCGACCACGAGAAGGACCAGGTCCTATCGCACAACGAGTACCACCAAGATGACAAGTCCAGCGATGTCGAGAAATCTCCTCCAGAACGCTTTCAGCATGGCAAGGAGGCCGACGACATTCCGTGGACGGCGAAACGTATGATCGCAGTGCTATCGCTGTGCACGATCTATGTCGGCTCGCAGATCATCCTGTACTTCACCAGCTCGGCCCTCACATCCATTTCCCAGAGTCTGGGCACTACCATTGGCAATTGGATGCTCACAGCCAACACTCTGGCCGTGGCCGCCATCTGTCCCTTTGTGGGATACATTACGGATCTGATGGGCCGCCGCAGCATTGCTTTGCTGGGCACCCTTCTCCTGCTCATCGCATGCACACTGCAAGCGACGGCACATTCCCTGGCCCAGGCCATCGCTGCTCAGGCAATTGGTGGCATGGGAGCTGGTATGGCCGAACTGGTGGCTCTTGCTGGGTCAGTCCCTGTGTTATGGCTCGCTGTACACATATACGTATATATATATATATATATATATATCATCTGCTGACAATCGTGTACAGAGTCGCAGAGATCACGCCCGTCCGGTGGAGAGGCGTCACTCTCGCCCTGGTCACCTTCTCGATCGTGCCGTTCATGCCACAACTCCTCTACACCATTCTCATCGTGCGAAGCTCTACCTGGCGATACTGCTTCCTGCTATGTGCCTTGTGGTAAGTGCCAACCGATATGGACACGGCCCGCTGGCTAGCATCCACTGAGATGACCGACGATGACAACTCACTCTCTCGCAGGAATCTGATCGGCATGATTGGATTGATCTTCTGCTACCATCCTCCACCACGGCCAAACGCCGAGGGACTCACCAAGATGGAAATCGTCAAGCGTATTGACTGGCTAGGCGCCTTCCTATCCATCGTCGGCATCACCCTCTTCCTCGTCGGCCTCCAGGCGGGTGGGTACCAATACCCATGGACTTCGGGGAAAGCCCTTGGCCCCTTGATCGTTGGCGGTTTGATCACCTTTGTCGCATTCCCGCTATGGGAAGTGTACGGTCGGCATCCTTTTCCCATGGTTCCTCCCAAGATTTTCAAGGGACAGCGAGTCGTCGCTCTCGCATATGTCGTAGTTTTCGTTGCTGGTCTGGAGTTCTACTCCATACTTGGCTTCTTCCCGCTCGTCCTACAGTATGTCTACAACACCGATGCCATCACAACCGGCGTGAGAGGCCTGTGCTATCCTTGCGCCATTCTCGGAGGGGCTTGCCTGTTATCTTTCTCAATGAGTTATACCAGAGGACACGTCAGACTCATGTTCTTCTCGATGGCCGCAGTCATGACAGCCTTCACAGGCGCACTGGCCCTTTCGACCCCGGATAATCCAGGCTACACCATCACCATGGCTACCTTTGCTGCTTTCGGTAACGGAGCTCTCGTCGTCCCAGCTTTGACTCTGGCATTCTATGCTGCTCCCGACGAGTTCGTGGGCACTGTCGGCGCTCTATCGCTCTCGGTCCGCTTCATTGGAGGATCCATTGGCACGTCCATCTTCTTCAACATTTTCTTCACCAAATTCAGCGAATTCTTGCCTCGAAATGTGGCGGGAGCAGCCATGAGCGCTGGAGTGTCCGATCCTACGATTCTCAAGGCACTGGTCGTAGCCTATGCTTCTCAGGTACCTGGCGCAGCATCGGTGGTGCAAGGTGTGACTGCGACCACTGTTGCGGCCACTCAATACGCCAGTCAGATGGCTTACGCGGAAGCACTCAAGTATGTCTGGTACGCCACCATTCCGTTCGGCGTCGTGAGCTGCATCTGCTGCGCATTCTTGCCGAATATCAGACAGTTTATGACGAGCAAAGTCGCTGTCGATATCCATTGATGACTTGGGTGGAAAGTTGGCAGAGATTCATCGTGCTGTGTGTATAGTAGTCGCAGTCTGAGAATGAATACCTATCATTATGTCAATTGTGCCAAGAGATCGACTCGACGATGACTTGGACTAGTCTATGTTTTTACTTACTTGGTCTTGACTTGATAATGTTCTCAACTGCAAATCATCCTACTGGTAATTCTTAATGAGCCACTCCGCCTACGAAAAAAAAATGTGCTGTCACACCAAGCCAGTCTAGTAACTTGATCCATCTTGCCGTGCACCACCAGAGCTCCACGCAACCGCATCGTGTCAGACAGCCAAAAGACATACAAAAAAAATATGGACGACTACACTCTCCAGCAAGAGCTCGAAGCACTAGCAGGCAACGCGTACAATCCAGATCTTCCCGGTGAAAAGCACACACATGAGCCCATGAGCGCCACCATGTCTCGCTGGCAGAAGCTGTTCCATATCTCCGCAGACGAAGCTGTAGACCGCATCATGGATCATCGCAACAACCTCACCCGAACCCGCATCTCCGACGATCACTGGGATGCTATCCGCTACGAGCAAGAATCCCACGGATATGATCGCGAAGCGTATGAATACGAGCTTGAGCTACAGAAGAAGCGAGCAGTCCTACCCAGTCTTCTACCCAGTACCGAAAGTGACGCCGATAGTGGCATGACCTACCTGGTCGAGCTTACCGGACTCCTCGATTCTGCGGAGAAAGTTCGTGTCGCTGCCCAGCTGGAGAAGAACCCGGGGGTAGTCAGTGGCCGGAGTGAAGAGTCTGGGAGATCAGTGTCGCTTTGCTGTGTGGACAGCGCAGCCAAAACCGCCATTGTGCTATGGGCTAGTACCGAGGGCAGAGGATACGAACCGACGATTCTGATCGATCCACGATCTTTGAGATGATGTCCCAAATTGGGTTCTTTTTTCTGAGCCTTCACCAAAAAGTGCAAGTGGCAGTTCTTGCAGCAATGTTGCCTTAGGGTTGCCCGAAACACGTGGGACGACAGCGACGACTAGTTTTGCAATGATCCCCATACACAGGTCGACGACAGACCTATTCAAGTAAGCTTCGGTGAAGTTCTGAAGCTATCGATAAATACTATTGAGGATATCTAGAAGATGTCCATGTTCTGAAACATGTTTACTACCTTGTGCAAACCGACCTAGGCCTACCAGCTGACCGTACAGACTGATCGAACCACGACGTGTGTACTTATGGAGTGTCCGCATTCGTTCGAGGAAGAGAGATAATACTACGGATAATGTATATCCTATATTGAACACAGCAAACGAGATACATCAGAATGACAATGAAATATCGCTCTATTACGATGCTTCCGATTCCCGAAGCATAATAGTGTACTTTTTGTACGTGAATGGACCAGGTTACAGTGGAAGTGCAGTTCCTGCAGACTTCGATCGCAAGGTAGAGTACCTGTTACTATATAATAGTAGCAAGAATGCATGTCCTTCCTCTACAGAGAGAACGAAGGATCATGAAGCCCTTTCTTGACGCACATGGAGCCGTTCCCTGCCAAAATCATCACTTTTAGTCATAACGTCATACTGCTGAGCTCTGCTCATTCGCATACCTCCTAGTGGAGCACTGTAGTATACATACCTGCGAGGCGAATGAAGGCCTTTACGCCCAGAGGTTGCAAGTCTTGTTGTGGTCACTCAATTCCAGCGAAATGCACAGCTCAGACCAAGCGCATATGCATTCGCACCTCAGACACGACGGGAGCCCCGGGGGATGTCGCCACTGAAAGCAGAACACGAGAGGTTGTTACATTTGTATTGTCATGATTTGTCAAGTGCTATACTCTTCTCTCAATGATCGACTTGTGCCAATTGCGCAAGGCTGCCTACTCCAAGAAGAGCGCTGTGAGTAAGCTGCTTTCGCCTGCAGCAGTACCGAGGACGAGCAACCCTTGTTGGAGCCAGAACTGTAGGTAGCCCTCGCGACGTAATGACACACTTGTTACATTACTCGAGCAAACCCAATGACAACAACCTGAACCGCGAGGACAAGTCTGTCAACGTCATAACAACATGTCGTGAAAAAATCGAGCACCATCTTCAACAGCCCACTGGCTCGCGTAGACGTCGCTCGCTTCGATGACCACAGTCCTGCTGCATTCACAATCGTGTGCTCAGCGAGGTCATGCGACCTACAGGAGTCTGCAGTGCTAGAATGCGCATGGGCATTTATAGCGATCGACTCTGTACCTACAGTATGTAGTACGCCTGCGGCCAGTGCAGCACGGAATTATACCTGCATGTGCGCTCTGTTCAGTAGTGCTTTCACAAAAGTCCCTGGAATTCAGAAACGACACCAGGAATGAGCTCGGCAAATAGCGCCGGACACCACCGAACTTACGTGCAGCACCATAGTGCAAAGTGCAAAGTCGGTCATTAGACTTGTGATGGAACGAAGTCTACCTCCGTAGCGAATGTTTCGCAGAAAGCCGCAGAACACGGAGACGTCGGTGGTTACCTCCTACCACCTAGCGCAGTCCCTTAGTCGGCCAGACGTGGCGGCCGTCGTAATGTCTTGACACTTCCGGCGCCGCCACGGCCCTCCCCTTTGGACGAATTCGGGACCTCGTATGTCCTGATGCCGATATAGCGGTCGGATGATAAATGGAGTGAGCGGGAAAATGGCGCAATTCGGCCATGTCGCGTGGCACCTCACGTGGCCTTAGTGTGGCTGAAATAGCAGATTCCAAACAAGACCAACAAGCAGCATGATGAGTTTGTTCTAGACCTGGTTCAGGTCTCGATGGGAGGGATTCTGGGCGATGGTGCCACTGCGTGTGACTGTTGGTGGCACGGTACGTTGTAGGTTATTGTGAGAAGCGTGGCATGGCTCGATGCGATGTGATCTAAACATCTGTTAGCACTGCCCATTCGATGGCTATCTTCTACGCTCTCTCTCCCGTTCGCGATCGCGCTCTCGTCGATCTCGTTCATGGTGTCTCTCCCGGCCGCTGGAGTCGTGATCTCTATGTCTTCGCGAATCTCGATCATAGTCCTCATCCCGCTCACGTCTTCGATGTTGTTCCCTCTCTTTACGTCGACGATACTCTGCCTCGCTGTCAGGGTCATCCTTGCGTCGGGATTTCTCACGCTCACGTCGGTCCTCCTTGCCGTGTGTGCGCTCTCTCGAGTGGTCCCGCCGTCGGTCTCGCGATGCATGATGCTCGCCGTCTCTAGGCTTGCGGTCCCTCTCTCTTTTCTCAAATTCCATCTCGTACTTTCGGCGCTCCTCATCCTGCTTCTTCTTCTCAAGCTCCTCCTCCGTATATGTTTTGCCAGTCTTCTTGTCCCGGATCAGAACGGGGTTGTAAATCTTTGCATCTTTGCCTCGCGATGCCTTACCCCAAGCACCCAGTTCCTGCGCCATGGCCGCGTTTTCCTTTGCCCCAATACCGAGTAAGGCTGCTCTTCTCTCCGGCAATTTCCCAGTATCTTTGGCCAATCGCTTGCCTTTTTGACTTCCAATGCCTTCGCCATCTTTCCAGCCCATGCCTCGTAGCAACGCTGCTCCGAATTGCTCTACAGGCACACGCGCATAGTCGTCCAAAGTAGCCATGTCGGGTGCAGAGGCAACATCGTGCTCGAAAGCATCGCCCTCTGTCATGGGTGCGTTGTTACCTTCGATAATCAAGGTCTTGTCTGTGGTAGTCTTTCCAAGCAGCGCGTCCATGGCCAGTTCGTCGTCCGTTTTTGACTTTGCTGCTTCCATCTTCTCCTCGGTGTTCCGGCTGATACTATCATCATTGGTAGAGATGTTGCCAGTTCCCGACATCACCTCATCTTCTGCATTGCCTCTCTTGTTGTTGTAAGTGTTCAGTCCAAATTTAGGCTTACTCGCCTCCACCTTCGCCTCGACATCTCTCATGCGGGCATCGAGGTCTGCACGACTACCGTCCTGGTTCCCAGGAAGTCCGCTTTTTTGTCGCTTGCGCTGACTTGCCTTGTCGCGCCAGTCGCGGTTGGCTTGAGGCGCAATCAGCAGTGGAGCATTCTTCTCCTCCTCTTTGCTCGCATTCACGGCGCCACCAGCTGTACTATCGAAATGCGAAACTGCCTGAGCCTTGTCCATTGTGGCGCCATCGTCGTCCTCATCGTGCAGCGCTGTACGAGGTCGCTTGACGCCGTGTGTCAGCTGTGGCAGCTTTCGCGCCCCGCCGAGCGACAGCGAGATCTTGTTGCCGCTCATGTTGCCGCCGCAGTTGCTGTTGTTGCTGTTGTGGTGCGTCTGTCTGATTGCGACAACAATACTTCACTTCGTCCGTCAAGTTCAACAGAGCGATGGCCTGATGGGACGTCCCGGGGCTAGGCCATTTTAAGCCAGCTCCAACGACTGGATGACATAGGCGAGGTCTTTCCTTCTAGCAGATTTTTTCCTGCATTGCTTTCCATCGATTCTATTTCACAACACCACGTCCATTCCCACTCCCTCCACCACCATCACCACCACCACTCCCACCAGAATCTCCACCGCGACCATCACCACTAGCCAAAGGCGAGGAACATAATACCAGTCACTCGACGTAATTACCCACGAACAAGCACCACCAACGGCCAAAGCGATCACTTCGATGACAACTCGAAACCGATGCTTGGCTTGTCTCCATCCTGGACGATGCTATCTTCTCGCATCGCAAACAATCAAGTGCGATGAAGTCCGATCTTCTGCCATTCACCTCACGCCCTTCTGCGTGCGTGGTCAGCCTGGTTGCTGGTAGCCTTGCGTCGTGTCAGACGCTTCCGTGTTCCATCTGTTAACGGCCATATTCTGACTCAGCCTCGCGTTCGATCAAGTTGCGAAACTCTGCCCTTCTTGGCTGTCAGCAATATGCGGATCATGCTATTGCATAAGGCGAACTCCCACACGGCAGTCTCTCAAGAGCCTTACCCTAAGGCTGCATGCTCGACCCGCGTCCGCATGCGCGCTGTCACAGTCTTCGCTCGTCCAAAAAAACCATATCTTACGCTCGTAGACGCGGCAATTTTGACCGCGCTTATCCGCACAGGCATATCCTGGATCAAGAGCGCATACCATGAGCGCTTGGCACCAAACTCGCCTGTTCAACCTAGTAGTCGAAATGAACCACAGACGGGCATATGCTAATAGGAGCCCCAGGCACTTATGGGATATACAGTAGATGCTAATCCTCCGCTTCTACATTTTGAGTGCTCACGCCCAGGCATACGATGCTCGGATGGGCTCGCGAAGACATGCTCCTACTGGTAGACGAGTTGACTTTATTAGGGACAGAGAGAGAGCATGGGAAACTTGTAAAACGTGCTTACCCCCATTCTGAATCCTAGGACCTTTCTAAGAAATCCGGGACAACCATACGAAAGAGCCCAACGCAACATGGCCATGAACTACATGCCTTTCACATTAATGGCAGTACTAGGCTGAATAAGTGCAACGCTCCCCCGCGATACACCGGACCATGTCCTTCGTCATTCCACGGTGATGACCTGTCAACTGGCCTAGCCCAGACCTGCCTGGCGGGAGAGCCATCCACCCATACAGACGCTGGTCATGACGTGCTTGCGTAGTATATCAGGACCTACCAGTATGGTCCCTGGGACCAGGTTGACGCTTGATGAGTCCAACCTGGAACTCAACTGTGCGATCCCGCCAGTCGACAGAAAGCTCCACGACTTTTGTCCCTATGAAAACCAAAAGAACGTTGAACTTAGCAGTCGTAGCTCTAGATGTCCAGTGAAGCTGATGGCTAGTAACAGACATGAGCGAATATGGCGAAGCCGTTGTTATATCAGAAAATGCAGAGTGCTTGATGATTGGTCCATCCAAGGCCGACGGATTTTGGGCAATGCACGAAGATTGTACACTCGTTGGGATTGTGCATTGATTTTGGGTGAGTGGCCAATCGTCCACGATTGACATATCCGCAATTCCCTGCCGCGCGCCGATTACGCCTGGGTCCGCCGTCCGCGAGCCGTCGGGCGATGGGAGTCGCTGACATGGAACTATTTCCCGCACACAAATCTACTGATTACTTGCAAGGGGAGTAGACTACATTGCCCCTAGTTTGGAGTACAGCAGACTCAACAGTCAACTGGTTGACATTGACAACCAGAAATATAGTGGCTGGCTTGTTGAAGGATGTCGCTCTTGCTAGCAAGGAACTGCCTACTTGACCTATCGGGATGGCCTGCTCGTTTGAGAGCTTCAGGATGATGCCATCATCTCGTGAGAGTTGATTGATTGTTGGGAGACCCAAGGGCATCGCAACGGTTCCGCCCGACTTTGTTCACAGAGTAATAATAGCGACACCTCGGCTAGCTACTGAATACAGATATCCACTATTGTTAGGTTAGCCAACGCCCAACGTTCAATACCTGGAGAAATTACTCACAGGGTCGCTGATGAGCTCTTCTGGATCATACAGGAGCAATGCGAGCAAGTCAAACCATATCAAACATTACATACGCATGTGACAATACAGTCTCATCGCTACTTCGCCGGCCGATATGTTCTGCGGGCAAATTTCAGCAAGAGGTTCCACCTGAAAGTCTGACACCAAGACGGCCGGTGCAAATCCTTGCGCTTCATCAAGTCAGCTATGCATCAGTCAACTAGCATAACCTGTAGCATGTCCATAGACTGCATCTGGTATAGCGGACAACAACTCTGCCTGCCCTGTCGGTGCTATCGAGGATGGGCATTGAGGTACTTGCCACGTGCTGCACGGCATCTCTTTGCACTTGTGCTAAAAAACTTCCAAGCACTTGACATTGCGCAGCACAAGGGAAATGGCGAATGGAATTGCTCGACAAGGCCGCCAGAAGTGACGCACCCCATGTGCACTGCAGACTTCACGTCGTGCCCAATATCACAGAAACACGAAATGTCGTCACAATTCGCATCCCACCAAAATCTTCGTGATTGCCACGATCTTTGTATGGCCAACGATGGAATTGATGACGCTCGTAAGAGAACGTGTTGCTGGTAGGAGGTAGTTGGCTTTCTCGACGCCGCAGAACATGGACGCTGCCAAAGCCGGAAGTCCAGACGAGCAGATGCGGTTGAGCGGCATGTCTGATCAAGCACGCCACATTATGATGTGGCAGATGAGGATTACGAAACTCTCCAGATATTTGGTCTGGTACAACGATATACCTCTCCCTCTGGCAGATGCTCTGCACGCGTGAGGGCTGGAACCTTGGCTACTGCGACTGGCTACCTTGTGCATTCTCGTCAGCTTCAACACGGTGGTAACAGATCGATCGAGAATGCATGGCGCGGCGGATGGGCTTGAAGCCTTCTCAGTAGTGGTATGCCTGCTGCAAGTATGACCATAGGTACGCACGGGAGAGAGCCAAGGCGCAGTATGCATTAGGAAGGAGGAAGGCTCTGATCCGCAGGGAAGAAGTTCGTAATGCGAGGGTTGCTGCTGTGATGAATGGCTTCTCGTATGGGGTGATTGTTGCATGAGGTGTCACTACAGTATTTTGGCCCAACGAGGCATGCTGTCATGAAATTGACCACATGAAATTGACCACTTCTGTGGACCACATTCGAGCCGTCATCCGCCCCAAGGTCAAGCAGCAACCTGTGGAGTGCGAGCACCAGCAAGACACTAGCCTGTGCCGCGAAGTTGGCTCGCGGGTCTGATGCTGATCCCGTAGCGGCGCCATCAGACAGACAATACGCGATGGACCCGGAAATTCCAGTTGGTTCCACCGAGCTCATCGGCACGGCATATCCTTCTTTCGGATGGTGGAAAGAAGAGGACTGATGATCATGATGGCGATCGTGATGCTGCAGTAGCATCAGCTACGAGCACGATCAATATTGTCCATATTGCAGGTGGGCGTCTCTGGTAGCGGTATGAACAGTGCAGAGAGCAGGCGAAATTGTAGCGAGATGATAGAATGTTACTCGACTGCACTTGCACGAGCACGCGCGCTTTCACCATACGAAGCCGGTGGTTAGCATGTTCGCGAGGTTTGGCTGTAGTTCGGCAGGTGGACTTTCATGGTCCCATGTCAAGTATTCCTTGCTGCTGATCGCCCAGGCCTGCTGGCACTGCCCTGCCTGGCAGGTCGGGGAATCGGGGACTCTTGAGTTCCCAACAGCTCGCTCCGGCCTCCCACAGCACCCACAGCTCCCACAGGTCCAACAGCTACCTGGTACCTTAGCTTTGCAGCGGTGATGAGGGAGCCGCCATTGCGGGCAAAGGCAATTGTCATGTCCGCCTCTGCTCTCCACCTCCTCGAGCCGTGGAGATGGAAGAGAGAGAGACTGTACCTAGAAAGAGAGTGTGTGTTTGATGAGAGAGGTGGAGTGGAGAGGCAAGCGAAGCGCAAGCTTTCGAATTGTAGGTTTGTCGTTCCTGTGCCGCGGCACCATGGCTTGAGCCGTGAGCCACCATCCCCGGCAGCTTGGTGGACGATCGTGCAAGGTTGGGAAATGCCCAGGCGCCTCAATTTCGTTTGGGGACGATCTTGACTGCTGTCAGTCTGCTGATAAGAACAGACAGCTGGAGCTCTAGGAGGTAGTACCTCCTAGTGCCTTACCTAAGCTGAGTTGCCTTTATTATTCATAGAGGTAGTGGGAATGAGGAGCGGAATTGCCACCATTTCGTTGCCGGACCGTGCTCAGTGCTCAGTGCTCACTGCCTCACTGCCTCACTGCTTGGCCCCATTGGGATTGAAGGAAGAATGGAAGTGCAAGTGGAAGTGGAAGTGGAGGCGCAGGCGCAGGCGTGCAGGCGGAAGGCATTATTCAGAAATGCCGCGCTGGTGGCCTGGGGCTTGCCTCACTGGCCTGACTGACTGACTGTGCACACCCTCTTCCCTCCTCACCTAGTAGAGGTGGACGGACAGAATACTGGACCTCGCCGCCGGCTTCATCCAGGTCAGGCCAGGCGAATGATTCCGAAGATTCCCGTCATGACCATTCAGTGTCGCCTCGCATGCTACTAGCAGCGAGTCCCTGTGGACTGTGCAGTGTGCAGTGCAGGCCAACGAGCTGCGTGCGTGACGAGCTGCGAGCAGTACATATCTAAGAGGTAGGTACATGTAGCTTTGAAGTGGTGGTGGAGGTAGTATGTATGTAGGTAGGTAGGTAGTCACTGGGGGCGGGAACATGTAGCTTCTATCAGGGCAAAACCTACGAGAGCTAAGGATGTAGATACAGGTACATGTAGGAGGTACCTGTACCTCCCACAACTACAGCTTACAGATGCACAGCGGTAGAGAGCTCTTTGAAACATACCACTGCCGTTCCTGCAGCGTCTACTGGGCATGGCATGGCCTGTACGCTGTCAACTAGGGACGAAGGAGGAAAAGAAGTAGCACGGCACGGGCAACGGTACCTGCAGTAGCTTAGCTCTGCCTGTAGGAGGTATTGGAGGCCCTGGGCACACCTCACCAATGGCAAAAGAAAAGCCCGAGAAAATGGAGAAATAACCCGAACACCAAAAGAAAAACACAAAATTGGAGGCTGGAGGCTGGGCGGAACCGACAATTCCAGCGCTTTCTTGTCCGACGCTGCCCATACGCCCATCATCGCTGTCCGCTGGCCTGAGGCGCGCCACTGGACGGCTCCGATGAGAAGAGAGAGTTGTTGGCGTTGCATGATGAACTGGAATGGAGCAGTAGCGTGCATTATTCGGTGTTGGTGCTGGGCCACACATGTCGCGACTCGTAATTGGGCATCACCATCGCCGTCCATCATCATCATCCTCCTCCTCATCATCACCTTGTGCATTCATTGGTACGGGGCCGTCTGCTGCAATGCTCATCATCATGTCTGATTCACGGTCGACTCTTTCGGAGGGTCTACCTACATACATGTATCTATGTACGGGGGCTAGCAGGTCTATGTCGTGTCATTCACCATCGCCCAAGGCGCAGATGCGGCGAGATCCCCTACGCGTCTTCGAGAAGTCGATCACCACGCTTCTAGTGAATACGCTCCGCCGGTACGCGCTTGACCCTGCTCCACTCCTGCGCGTTTGCCCACAGGACGGTGTTGCTTTTGTGCCTGGGAAAAACACACATACACAAAAAAGGACGCTGCGTTAGAAAGTGAAACCGCGACGTGCAGACAGACCTTCCGAGGCTTCCTGGCTCGCTCTCTCGCTCACTCGCTCGTCGCCAAGTGGCCAATCGCTGCACGATCAAGCACCGTGGGACAGGAAAAGCTCCTCAATTGCTCTTTGCGAACGGTACCTGCAGTAGGGCCTGAGTAGGCGGTAGTAGGGGCCCTGCTCTCTCGTGTTTCAGGTCAGCACTCACTGCAGCCATCCCAAGGCCAGGGCCAGCCAGCCATGCCGCGGTTTGTCGCGGCCACATCCATGGTGTGTTTGTCCCATGTCTGTCCAGCGGCGCTACTGCTCGTCTGGACGCGTCGCCTTGGACTCCACCCCGCTGGTCTGTTAGTGTTGGCCTCTGTGGCCTGTCGGCCGCAGGAAGGCCGGCGGACGCAATATGCCTCTTTTCCTAGAGTTATGTAGGAGCAGCAGGAGGAGGAGGAGGAGGTAGGTATCATACCTCTAGTCACGCCATGGATGACTGCTGCTTGCTACATAGTACATACCTACAGGTACCTTACATGGAATTGGGATGGAGGACCTGCAGTGCAGCAGCCGCGATCGTCACCGCGCTGCCATGTCTCCCACGCCGCAGTACTGATCGCTATCTACCTACATGTAGGTAGCTGTACTTCAAATCACATTATTGATTCAGCATCGCGAGGGGTGGTGGTGGTGGCAAGCGCTATTGGGACATGTGTCCCCACGCCGCTGCTCTCACACCAAGTTCGGAGTTTCAGGCGGGCGTCGGAAAAATTCTGAGTCAGCTAATCAGGGCCGAGGGACGTGCGACACGAGTCCATATTGACTTCCGGCAGACACTATCAATTGGGGGATGGAGCCGCGTCGAAGGTCGATAGGCTGAGAGGTGGCGTGGGCATCTAGCCAGTGCTGCTGCAAGTCCCGAGATACTGAGCGTGTTTGGTCCGACCGACAACAGGTCTCGACGAACGAAAGAGCAGAGCACGACAGTCTCGACGAACGCAGCACGGCAGCCTGCAGTGCATCTCTCCGCCTAGAGAACATTTGACCAAAAGTGGCCAAGGACTGATGGGGGAGTGCATGAGACAGGTCGTCGAACAATCAGAGAGATATGAGATATGCCGTCAGCGTGCAGTACCGCGAGCGGCGTGAGGCGACGAGGTCCGAGTAGTTCCCACTAGGTGCAAAACACCTCGATCAATCAATCAATGCATCAATCAATCATCAATCACGGTTTGCGACAGCTAAGGTAATGATTGGCGGAAGCCGATTGATTCGTCTCAGCAGAGTTGTCTCGTCGGAGGTAGGAGGTAGGTTGACAAGCGTCGGTAGCGTTTTCTGCTCTGCATCGAGAGGGGGAGGCTACAGAGCAGCTGACACCGTAACTGAGATGTGGAAAGATGAACGACGACGCGCTGTGGTGCATGGCGTGCGCCCGTACCTCCGCTCGGTGCAGCACGCTCGAACAGCTGAGGCAGAGGTGGATGGAGCAGCGGACAGCACGGCAGCACCAAGGCGTGCGCGGTGTCCGTAGAGAAGTGGAAGCAGACGGGCGAACGGCAGAGAAGTGTCCTGTCTACTCGTAACCTACCGACCGTAGCCTACCACACGACGTAGCCTAGGCCCTATTTGCGATGTGCGGACAAAGATGCGACGCGAGAGACCGACGGTGCTGCGCCCTCGAGGTCGACGACGACGACAGCGACGAGCAGCTCACGAGCCGACGAGGTCAATCAGCTGCACAGACTCGGCCGGCCAAGCGCTGAGTGGAGGTAGCTAGGTCAGTGGTCAGGTACCTAGCTGCGCTGCTCCCCCTACGACCTTTGGCCACCCACCCACACCACTCCCGCCGGCCGCTTGAGCCTTGACGAGCCCACCCCGGGTGCAGAACTCGTGAAGCAGAAAGCGCATTAGCGTGGGTGCCGGGGTGAAGGTAGCACTGTACCTGCAGCGGTGGCAGGCGTGTGAAAAGGGAAAAAAGGAACTCAGGCTTTCAGGGTGCGCGTAAGTGGTCTTGTCCTGCCTTGGGCCCTTCCCTTGGGGTGTGCTCGCCGCCCGGCCTGCAGCCTGTGCCTGTGCCTGTGCGTCCAAGCCCGTGGATCCAGCATCCGTCGGGAGTAGTCCCCAGGAGCCAACTCGAATCGCGCGTGGACTACCGCAGCACTAGCTTTCGTACCTGGCTAACGCTTTTGAGCGCTACCTCTCTTTCGCCGCGCCCACTGATCTGCCTTTTTATCGCTCTGCTCCCCATCATTCGTTCCAACGCCTGGGTCCAGGGTTTATTTTAAACTCATCATTCTCTTGTTGCACGCACCTACTGAACGCTGCTTGCTTTCCCTCTGCTGCTATCCATCGTCATTCTTGTTCTTCCTTTTTGTTCCCTCTTTAACGACCTGCTAATCCAATCTGTGCGCTTTTGTGCAAAGAGGGCCCCGTACCCCGTCACTCCTTACCATCATCATCATCATCATCATCCCGTTCTGCTGCTACACTCGTCTGGACACTGTATCACCATCCGACAACGACCACGACGACAATAACAACAACAACGATACACATCAGCCGCTTGGTACCAGCAGACGTCGACTATCACGCTCACTCGACCCTCGACACTCGACACTCTGCCCTCTCGCTCGCTCGCTCGCTCTCTCTCTATCTCGCTATCTATCTCTGGATCTCGATCGATACTGTACTCTACTACGATAACCTGTCCGGTGCGACACACATCACCGACTCTTGACCACCACCAAAACCCAACTTAATCGTAACCCGTTTCAAATCCTATCTTTGGATGTGTTTCGATTGATATACCATCCAGACAGGAAAACCTTGGAAACCGAACGTGTTAGTCTCTCTCCGCTGAGCCTACATCATCCGCAGCAGCGTCCGGGCCCGCATATGTAGCGCGTGCTAACTGCTACTCAGCAGAAACAGCTCCGCTCGCAATGGAGTACGCAGCACAGACGACCCCTCCCATGGGTCAATCACCATTCTTCTATTATCAGCCGGAACCGAGCCCAGACACAAAACAGCATGGCCACTTTGCACCGCACCCTCACTACCACCCCGGCCTCCCCATGGCTATTGTTCCCTCGAGTCCTGGACAAGTAATGTACTTTCACCAACCCCCAATGCAGCACCAGTACCGACCACAATCCGCTGGATCGTATTCGCACTACCAGCAACATGCACAAGCCTACGGTCCACCTCCAATGCTGACACCAGACGCCTCGCCCCGTCAGCATCAGAGACTGGGCTACTTTATGCCCCAGCAAGAAGCTCAAGGTTTAATCGTCAACACCGAATGTCACAACTACCACCCGGCCACACCCACACATTCCGCCACTTCCGGCTCATTCAGCTCTGCTTCAACACCTCCATCAACCTGCGGCCTCCAGCCCACTCCTGTTGATGGACAAGGCGTGTTCTTTGCAAAGCCCCCAATGTCAGCATACCCCGCCATCAAGCAAGGCTGTGAAGAAGAGGTACATTTGGAGGTGTTGGCAGGCGGCGACTGGAGCACTCGGCCAGGCTCGCCGCCCATGACTCCTGTATTCTTGCACAACTCCATCAGTGCAGAGAGCTCTCAAGCAGCAGCGGCGGCATACGAAATGGCCAGCGGTGCGACCTTGCTGCAACACTCGCCATGCACATCTCCCGCATCGCCCATGTCACGTTCCGCGGCAACGGAACAGGAAGTCTGCGATCCACGAGATCTCATGTCGAGCACGTCGGGAGTGGACTTCCACGCCATGCCCGCGCTGTGCAATGGAGACGAAACGGGCGAGTTCAAGGTCACCACCACCACCACCACCACAGCTTTCAAAAGCGACATTTCCCCACCCCAGGTCCACATTGCGGAAGCTGCCGAGCCACGCTTTTATGCCGGACTTCCCACCTTCGAACCCATTTTCGAGCTCGACGTGGAAGACGAATTTGGCGGTATGGTGTCCTACTCAGCATCGCACGACGTGCAGTACAACGGCGCCAAGCGCCAGCGCCTCTCGGTCGCATCCGGCGTCGACGACGACGGCTTCTTCAGCGAGGAGAGCTACAGCGACGACGAGCTGGCCCCGGGCGCCTACTCACCACCCGTCTCAGACTACCCGATCCCAGAAGACTCGGCCGCCGCCCACAGCAAGCCCAAACGCAAGACGAGTAGGAAAGAGACGGTTCTCCAACACGCCGCCGCGCAGTCCACCGCCCAAGAGGCATCGTCGGCACCCACCTCCAACGCGCCATCGCAGGCATCGTCGGAGAACAACGAGACGGCGGCCTCCACGCCCGCTCAGAGTGGCAGTGTGTCGCGTCGCGGTCGCAAGCAGTCTCTGACAGACGATCCGTCCAAGACGTTTGTCTGCACGCTCTGCAGTCGCCGCTTCCGCCGACAGGAACACCTCAAGCGCCATTACCGCTCTCTCCATACCCACGAAAAGCCTTTTGAGTGCTCCGACTGCGGCAAGAAGTTCTCTCGATCAGACAACCTGAGCCAGCACCAGCGGACTCACGGCGCGGGCACAATGGTCATGGGCGTGTTATCCCAGCCGGGCGAGCAACACATGCATCATCAACCCATCGAGTCTGTCAACGGCGGTGACGCGGGTTCCGTGATCCGACCCAAGCAGGAGCAGCAGCAACAGTACACGCCGCAGCCACTCCAGTACGCGCAGCACCACCGGCTGTCACCTGATACTGGCGAGCTTGGTGCTATGCTCTTCGATGTGACTGCTCAGGTTTCTGGCTCGAGCTCCAGCTCCAGCAGCATGGGCTATTCGGAAGACGAGTTCACTGCCCACGGCGACCAGAAGCCTGCCAGGAAGAGAAAGCGGGACGCGTGAGCTCCTTCTTGCTACATGAAGACGCCTATGCAATGACACGAACATCCGTAAATTGCCTAGGAGACGCCACGATACGAAATTGATGTCGTTACGCCGGGGATAACAATAAAAAAAGGACATGGGATGGCGCTCTGATGTGGAAGATATCACCTTGCCTCCACACACACCTCTTCTCTTCGCACGGAATAGACAGCACGACGATTCAACCTTACTACTTTCATGGACATGCTTTGCTACAGTGTTGCCTGTACAACTAATACTTTTCGACGGGGACGGACTTTGAAGGACTTTTTCGCGTTTGTCTTTTTCTGTGCTGCACCTTTGCTGTACAGTACCTTTTTGCTTTTTCTTCGGGCAGTTCACTATGGGGGGGTTCGGGTGGCCGGGAGGGAAGGTCCCCGGCTCAAATGTACTACTACCAGTGATGGGGGCACTCCGCGCCGGTCGAGGAGAAGGTGATAACTCGTGTTATGTACCTTATTGTGTATCATACTGAGCAAAAGCGATCAACGTTACGCACAAACACACACACTCTCTCTCATACACACACACACAGACATTCTCTCTCGCTCTCAACTTCATCGCCACGTCTTGATTTCCAGCGTCACTCTTTCCTTGCTAACACCCACTAATCGCCAGAACAGGCCCAGAATCCTGCTTCGGCTCATTTTGCCACTACCGAGCATGAACATGAGCATGAGCACGAACATGACTTGCAAGCTTCCATCAACCCTACGTAGGAGGTACTCCAAAGCCGAAGCCGAAACACCAAAAGGCAGCAGCACATCACATCAGCCTCACTACCGTGCTACCAACAACACCCATGGGATTCGCCACCACCACTTCCCATGACTTGTGTTATCTTTGTATTCCGAGTCGTTCAAACAAAAACAAACATGGGCAAACCTGTCGTCCATCATCGAACATTTGAGTACAAATCAAATCCAGGCCTCAACGCAGAATCATGCAGCTAGTTACCGTCGTAAAGTTTGGGGGGGAAGAGAGAGAGGTTCAAGTGTAATGCACGTTCATGACTAGCAACAGCGAATCTGGCGAATCTGGCCTTTTTGTGTACACAAATTGTCACTCTCTTTCTCTTTCTAGATTCGTTCCAGGGTAGATCGATCTACACTAGGAGGTAGGTACTTACTTACACACACGCGATACTTTACTGAGAGATCTACCAAAAACAACCCTGCCGTGGCTTGCTTGCTTGGACTTCCTTGCCATTGCTTGCTGGTGGTTTGTCAGGACCAAAAGAGTGAAAAGAAAAAGTTCTCTGATGCCGACGTGGTCGAATCATTGGCTGCGGTGGGTGCCTATGGGCTCTCTTCGCGCTGCGCTTTTTACAGATGCCACTCAATGAGTGGCCTACTCTTGAGAACCTTCGCGTCGCCCACGCGTATATCTTTTACACACGCAATACCGCAGGCGCAAGGAGTCACGGTCTCGTTTCAGATGTCTTCCCGGATCTACTCATACTCCTGATCGTCGTCGTCTTCTTCTTCTTCTTCTTCCTCCTGTTGTTCTTCTTCCTCTTCGTCCACTTCTGCTTCTTTTCGGCTTCCTTCTACCGCGCACTCAATCGTACTTTTCCACGTCGCCCTACGCGATTCACCTCCCAAACGCCTCGCATCTGGTTGTTTCTTGACGTAAAGCCGCTAGGGACTAGACTCCTTCCTGCATGGATGGATACTATACCTACCCTACCTTTACCTACCTCTGAGTCGACAGAATGTATTAATATCATCATCGATATCATCATCGATATCATCATCGATATCATCCTCATCATCATCACCATCATCGTCTTCGTCATGCCACCAACCAAGCCAATTGTCTCGTGCCGAAATGTCTTCAGCCAATGAGCAGCTTTGGGTATGTGAGAGATTTTAGATTGGAGGGAGAGGGCTTTTTTTGTTTTGGTTTTGGTTTTTGGCGTGGTTGTTTGTCAGCCCATTTTTGGCTTTGGCTTGCATGTACCTACCAACCACCTCCACGTAGGAGGTAAAAGACAGCCAGACCCAGACCAGACATCATTCGTAGAGAGTTGATAGCCACCAAGCCATGGGAGGATCCAGGCGTACATGTGTGTGTCTGTGTGTGTGAGTGTGTCTTGTCAAAGAAATCTGCTGGCCATATCTCTTGGTCGTCGTTCATCATGCAGATCATGCACCCTCATAGGTGGGAGGTAAGCTCGACGCAGGAGTTTGGGGCCACCACCTTTTTTTTCGAGATGAGATCAGTAGGTACCTCCTACCTATTGTCTTGTTCCTGATGATCTTTTCATTTGGGGGCTTTGCGATGGCTTGCCTCCAATAGGGGGGCTAGAAGGATCGACCACCAATGATGAGTGAACCCTTTTTGCCAGTTAGGTACATGTATTCTTGTCACTGTCCTCTAGATTATAGGGCTTGAATGGTGGATCTTTTGATTGAGAACTACAGGTGTCAAACAGGGAAGTCGATTATAGGGAAGCCGGGAGCCACAGATCCGCTCCAGGTGGAGATTGGGATCAGTCCCAAGAACAGAGCATCAAGGTATTCTCTCTACATGTACCTGTACCTGAGGTGTGGTAGAAAAAAAAAATCAACAAATGATGGGAAGGGAATGCGATCAATCACTTGTTCCGATTGCAGCTTCTTTCTACATGCATGTCTCGAAGCGCGCGAGTCTTTCACGGCCAAGGTTTTGTGACAACGCATCTTTCACTTGGGTGGTGAGCAATCAGCAATGAGTACCTCCTACTTACTCCCACAGCTCCACTCACACATTCTGTCGTTGACTCCCACAATACACAGCTCAAGTCCCATCACCGCAGCGCTAGAATTGAAGCAAAAGTCGTGCATTCCCAGCAACAGCACATCAAGCGCTGCCCTGCGAGCCAAGCATTCACTCTATACCAGTCACCGTCACCATACATACCTACATCCCCAAAGCGCACAGTCATACGCGCCCCACGCATTATGCACGCAGCACAGCACATCACATCGTCAGGCACATCGCCCTCTCAATCCCCATCACGCCCGCGATAGTAGCCTTGCATTTCCGCTCTCTGCTCTTTCCAGATAGCCATCAGTACGGGATCGTGGCTCGGATCTCCGTCCCAATACTTGGCGTGAAAACTCCTCGCTCCACCCCTCCAGTCCTTGGCCGTGGGCCAATTGACATTCCAGCCATACCACAGTGGCTTCCACGGCATATTTCCGCTTTGCCTGTGAGCATAGTTGAGCAGATTCTGTTCGGGAAAGCCAGGATCGAATCGTCCTGGCAGTTGCAGTATGCTCATATAATAGTCGAATAACTCTGCTGATGGGGTGAAGACAAAAAAGCCGCAGTTGAGGTAGCTCAGATCCGTTGGTGGCGGATAGGCATGCTCGTAGCCCCAGAAGTCGCTGTGGGTGGCGAACATGTAGGTACGAGGTAGTGGAGCTTCGTCTGCTTGGATGGCGTCGGGGTCCGCCTTGGTGCCTTGCGTCAAGGTTGCCTCGTCGAAGAAGACGCCGTCGAGAGGTGCGGTGACGAGGGTGTCGGCGTCGATGAAGAGGATCTTGCTGTAATCGACGAGCTGGAAGAGACGGAGTTTGGTGAGAACATCGATCCAACGAGCATCTGCGGCTTTGACCCAGTCTTGCTGGAGCTTCTCGACGAGGATGATGGTTGCGCCATCTTTCTTCAGGCGATCCCGTTTTCGCTTCGAGACATCCCGCGTGCACACCACCAGGAATGGTATGCTGTTGTTGGTCCCGGCTGACCTGGAGTGTAGCAACTGGTATGCCAGAACGCGAGTGCCCAAGTAGTAGCCATCATCTGCATCGTCGATTGCGGCCGACTCTTCGTCTGTCTCCCGTCGATCGCCACTCGTACTCCCTGCGAGAAATGTGGCATAGGCTACTTTGTAAGTCTGCAGAACGACTTGTTGTCCAGGAAGCGCTGCTCCGCCTTTGCGGTGGGAGGGACGCCATTGCTGGCCATGGTGGCTCGACTTGAGTGAGAGAGTGACGAGTGCGGAAGCCAAGAAGAGGAAGATGCACAAGCCGATGGTTCTGGGAGTGGTGGCTGTCATTGTGACATTTTGTTTGTTCACAGGACACGAGATGGAAGAGTCAGGGAGGTGGTAAAGGAACAAATATACCTACCTCAGGTACCTAAAGGTACACTATTCTAACACGTCGCGAAGACACTTGCATTCCAGAGCATTTGAGACACATATCGCGAAAGGGATGCCTTACAGCTAAGGTACGCCTCGTGTATGTGCCACCATACCACCACATTCCACATCCCGATCGAGAAGTGCGACCTCTCCTACATAACAACAGCATTGTCCAAGAGAAGAGAAGATGATGGAAGCTGTCGATATGACACCCAATAAGGCAATGCAGGTACGATGAATGCCTGCCTTCCTTCCCAGTCAACTTCATGTAGGCGAATTACAAAAAGAGATCGACTCCCATCTCAAGACCACACTAGGCCAAGTACACCAACAGCAACACCACACCACTACATAGACCTGACGATAACATGGAGGCGACGGGACGATTACTCAAACCCACTTTGCACGTCGAGGTCCTCCTCACAACCTGCAAATTGCCAGCATCTGCCCTTCACGACACGTGCCTCGCCATCAAGAAATTTGTGCAGGACAACTATGTCACTTTGAGAGTCGACGACGACATCTCCGGCTATGAGATGATCGCTTACGCGGAATACGTCGAACGCATAGACATTGCCGACTATACCGGCCCTTCAGAGCCCGCTGGCTATCACAGCCTGGACGAGGTTCAGCTGGATATCGTCGCCTACGCACTCAAGACTGCCGAAGAAGGCCGTCCACGTCGCCGTATCGGCCAGCCTGAGGATCCGGACGATTTTCCGCAGGCTCGTGTTCTGCCTCTGCCGCATGTCGTCCTCAGGAACGAGTGGGATTCGCTGATCTACGACGAGGCACTCCCGTCACAGCTGCTTCGCTACCTCAATCGCATGCTCGGTGTCATGAAGCAGCCTGGACTGAATCTCAGCACCTTCAATTGGAATCGGCTATGTTTACTTCATGGCCCACCCGGAAGTGGAAAGAGCACGTTGTGTCGTGCCTTGGCACAGAAGCTGAGCATTCGCCTCTCCGATACGTTTTCACACGCTGTGCTCGTGGAGGTCAACACCAATGCAATGCTCAGCAAATACTTTGGTGAGGACGGCTATGCATCATCGTCTGATCATGTCGGAGACATGTGCTAATGTCTGCCCGTCTTGTATTCCAGGGGAGAGTGGAAAGCTCATCGGCACACTCTTCGAGAAGATCCACGCCATGGCACAGTCGTTAACCACTCTTGTTTGCGTCGTTATGGACGAGGTCGAGACCATTGCTGGCTCACGAGAGAAAGCTGATGCTGGAGGCGAGTGCAGCGATGGTGTGAGAGCTACCAATCAGCTCCTGACTGCTCTGGATCGGCTCCGGGCATTGCCAAACATCATTGTGCTGTGCACCAGTAACCTGATTAGCGCGATTGTGAGTAGACATCGGTTTCTCGTTAGAGCTTGAGTATACACTAATAGTCCCTCCAGGATCCTGCTTTTCTTGATCGCGTCGACATCAAGCAGCTGATACCAAGTCCATCGCCGTCTGCAATTTACAACATCTTTCGCTCCTGTTTGAACGAGCTTGTTCGGTCCAGCCTCGTCAATACTGCAGCAACGACTACTCATGTAGAATACTCTGCGGCAGAGAGTGCCAGCTCTTCATCTCGAGCATCTGAGCACAGCAGTAATTCCCCGGAAACGGACTTAGACGATCGGACTACAGTGTTGGAGACTTCAAACATCCCGACCTTGGCGGAGATGCACATTGCGTACTACGATAAGCCGCAAGCACCTTGTCGCAGGGTTTGGGCTCTGTCTCAGAAATGCGAGGGCTTCAGTGGTCGAACCTTGCGTCGTCTACCAATCCTCGGCCTGGCAATGTATACGTGGGGAGGAAACTGCACACTCGACGATGCTATCACGGCATTGACGGCCGCAGTCGACCAGGAGTTGTTGGCAAAGCAGGCCCGAGCGGTATGAGACTACTCGGTTGGTAGCACACTATCTATCACGGTATCCAGAGGTGAGAATTGTAGTGATTCCTTGTCGACAAATGGTATGTTTGATAGGAGCTACATGTATACAGGAGGCCGCGCTCGAGTTGTTCCTTGCATGGGCGTGCGTCATGGTACCGGCCCGGCCCGGCACATCCCCTCGTACGCGCCCCTCGTTTGGTTTCAGTCCCGCATCTCATCATCGTTCCATTGACAGACAGCTTACCTCCCTTCACGTCTACAATCAACAGCTCTTTCGCAGTAATACGCCGCCAGCATGACTACTCTCAAAGGCCCGGGCGAAGCCCAGACGTACGATGGTAAGCACTTCACCATTTCATTATCCGAATCTACTTCCTACATCCGAGCGCTCTCTCTCTCCATGGGCCGCGTGACCTCTACGCCTTGACACAACCCAGGCAGCTGACTCTGATGAGAACAGGCTCCAATCTGCGAATCGGAATCGTACACGCACGCTGGAACAAGAAGCTCATTGACGCCCTCCTCCAAGGCACCCTCAAATCACTCAAAGCCGGCGGTGTGAAGCAAGAGAACATTGTGATCCAAACCGTCCCGGGCTCCTACGAACTCCCTTATGCCGTACAAAAGATGTTTCAAGCATCCCAATCACAACCCACCGGACTACTCGCCTCTGCAACAGACCTCCTGGCCGGCTCCACAACCGATCTGACTCAAACTGCAAAAGAGAGCAGTAAAAGCGAAGGAGCAAGCAAAGAGCCTTTTGATGCCATCATTGCCATTGGCGCGCTGATAAAGGGTAGCACCATGCATTTTGAGTACATCTCCGATGCGGTGTCGCATGGACTCATGAAGGTGCAGCTGGATCTTGGTGTGCCGGTTGTTTTTGGGTTGCTGACGCTGCTTACGGAAGAGCAAGGATTGGAGAGAGCGGGGATTGATGCCGCTGGGAAGGGACATAATCATGGAGAGGATTGGGGATCTGCGGCTGTGGAGCTGGGTGTGAAGAGAAGAGGGTGGGCAGAGGGAAAATTTGTGGAGTAGTACGATTTACCTACAATATGGACGACTTCTAATCATCATGAGAAAAAAAAAAAGAACTATGCTGGGCATGAGGGTAGGGACCTTGGAAAAGTTTCAAAGGGAATGAATGAACGAGTGAATGAATATTCAGATGCATGCGGCTGACATTTTGCCAATGCATTTCCCCGGGATGTTCTGTTCCCTCCTTACTGGGAATGACACTGCGCCGGCCATCTGAGCAAATTCGCAGCCACAGGAATAGCTGTCATAGCCTTGCGAAAAGAGTCCAGAACAATGTTTCGATCCTTCACGGGCAGTAAAGGCTTCATCACTGGAGATTCAACACACGAATCGACGCGCAAGTCTCCATAGAGCATATGCCGGTTGGTGCAACAAGGCTCTTGCGAGTTGGTCAGCGAAGACAGCACGGCAGACACGAGATAGAGAGAAACAACAGTGCAAAGCTGGCATGCCGCAGGCGACGTTTTTTTTGGCAATATCTATGAATTCAGCTCGCTTCTCAAGTGATAGCCTTGCCCTTGCTCTTTCTATCCACCTTATTCTGCGCAGCCTCGTGTCTCCTCAACTCATCCGGCAACCTCGAAATCTGACTCTTGCTGATCATCTGTTTAAGATCATACAACACATCATGATCTTCTCCGCCCAAGAATGTAATGGCAACACCAGTCTTGCCCGCACGACCCGTTCTTCCCACACGATGCGTGTAGCTTTCAATGTTGGTGGCCATGTTGAAATTGACAACCAACGAGACGTCGGGAACGTCGATACCACGTCCTGCCAAATCTGTGGCCACGAGAATCTCCGTCTGGCCGTCGCGGAGGGATTTGAGTGCTGCTTCTCTCTGGTCTTGAGTTTTGGAGCCATGGAGTGTGACGCAGCTAAAGCCCATTTTCTGGATGTCTCGAGCGACATTGTCGCAGTTGCGTTTAACGTTGACGAAGACAATGATCGGAGGAGCGAACTCGTTGCTGTGCAGAATCTCATTGAGCCGTTTCTTGCGCTTTTCCTCACCTTGAATGAATTCAACTCTTTGTTCAACGGAATCGACAGCTTCGCCGACGTTGCCGATGGTGACCTGTGCGGGACGGCGGAGGTATTTCTTCGCAATACGTTCAACAGCCGAAGGCATAGTTGCTGTATACATCATGGTTTGACGGTATTTCGATAGACCAACATGTTGCGTCATGGCCGAGGCGTTTTCTGCTTCGTCTGTGTCGGGCTTTTCGTTTGTAACGGGCAGAGCGTCGAGGATCTTGTTCACAGGTTCTTCGAACCCGAGATCGATCATGCGGTCAGCCTCGTCCATGATGATGTAGCAGCATTGCGATAGGACAAGAACACGACGTTCGATGCAATCGACGAGACGTCCAGGAGTGGCGATGATGATTTCAGCACCGTCTCGCATGTTGTAGCTTTGTTCTTCAATGGAGTGGCCACCCACAAGGGAGACACAAGTAAAGCCGAGGGGCGTCGCGAACTTTTTGGCTTCAATCTCGATTTGCTGCGCAAGTTCACGTGTCGGAGCAAGAATAATCGCATATGGCCCATCGTTCTTCGTCATTTCGTCCAGCGCCGGCAAGTCGGAGATATAGGTCAGGAGGGGCAGCAAGAAAGCTGCGGTTTTGCCAGATCCAGTAACGGCGACACCGATGAGATCTCGAGACTGCATAGCGATGGGTATGGCAGCTCTTTGGATGGGAGATGGATCCGTATAGCCAACTTGCTCCACGATATCCAGTAATCGCTTTGGTAGTCCCGATTCCTGCCAATTTCGCATGGGGTTTGGAATGGAGCCACCCTTGGTCGCAATGTTGAAGTCCTCTTTGAATATACGCCAGTCCCGCTCGCGCATATTCTCCAGTTTCTTCTCACTCCAGTGCTTGTCAATGCCAGTACGACCACCTTCCTCACGCCGTCTCCGCTCCATATCGAGAATCTCTGCAGCTCGTTGTTTGCCCGCTTCAGGATCGCGTTCTGCAATAGCCTGTGCATACGCTCGTGCTTGCGCATCCGTCGCATCATCAGCGAATCCACCCAGTCTGCCACGGCCGAAGAAGTTGTTTTCTGAGCGTGTTGCATATATGGGGTTGTAGTCAGGCGAAGTATCCTCTTCTGCATTCCATTCAAAATTGAACTTTTTCTCAGTCGTTCGTTTTCGTTTCTTTGACGCCGAAAAGGTCGACGTGTTCGTGTCTGAGCCCATATATCGTTGCTTTGTGAGCGCAGCTACTTTGGCACGCTCGTCGACATCCTTGGTCACAAATTTGTCTTTTCCTTTCAAAATGGCCACGTCCTTGGGTGGAGGCGGAGGCTTGATATCGTAGCCCTTGCTCGCCAGATTGACGCCAGCAGAACGCATTGACGAAGGCCCTCGCGGAGCACCTCTCGGACCCGTGGGTGGCCTCTCCAAGGCACGAGAGTCCGTCTGCTTTGCCTGGTCATCGACCGATCTCGAAGCAGCATTTTCTTGAGCCTCCTTCTGCTTCGCTAACCGTTCGCGTTCTTTCTTCGACAAGAACTTGGGTTTAGCTGCGGCCGCATCTTGAGCTTTCTTTCGCGCCAGCAGCTCTTCCACACTCAGCGGCTGTGCAGTGGTGACCTTGCGTTTCGGCGGCGGGGGCGGAGGAGGAGGAGGTAGATCTGCTGGCGGTGGAGGTGGAAGATCTGCTGCCGGCGGAGGAGGAGGCGGAGGAATGTCGACGTCCATAATGTGCATGCATGTGATGTGTTATAAATGCCCGAGACACGTCCAAACGACGACAACCTGGGAGCGCGCATGACTCGCAAGTGTGGAGAGAGGTCGGCCCGGCATTTCTTTCCACCGAGATCTGCCTGCCCATCTCCAGCTCTTCTCTTCCTCTTCCTCTTGACCTTCCCCTTGACCTTCGCCTTGACCTTCACCTTGACCTTGACCTTGACCTTGACCTTGACCTTGACCTTGACCTTGACCTTCACCTCGACCTTCACCTGCACCTTCACCTGCACTCTCCATGCATGCCACCGAACACCATACACCTTGCCCATGAACATGCCCACTGCGTCTAGAACTGCGCCATTGAAGCCGTGGACTCGCCACATCGCTCTTTCATAGATATATCCATCCGAGACAAAATCTTCTAATTATGGCATCTCAGCCCCAACAACCACTTCGACGCCACAGCCACCAAAAGGGGCAGACTGTATAAAGCAGCAGCTCGTGTATGCGCGAGAGTAAGATAATGCATCAGCCGACCATCCGGGCTATCTCCAAATGACCGGACTCCCTCGCAAATCCCCCTCCTTCAATACTCTCAGAGGCCCACAGGCACGCTTACGGCTTCCCCTGATTCGCCTCTCTCTACACCCTACCACCAAGCCTCGATGGAGCTGATATGCGGAATCTCTCTTTGGGGTGATTTGCTCTCCAGAAAGAGTATTTATCGATAGACTTCTGTGCGTACGCCTCCAATGCAGTACAGCGGCAACCAGCATTTGTCAGGCTGTCAACACCACTCCTGCGGGTTCGTAGTGAGCTTGCATGCGTGCGCCGTGCCGGACTTGGGTAGCCGACTTGTAGCTTTTTCTATCGGTAGATGACTTAGCATCGTTCCTGATCTTGGTTCTCTTGATTCATCTGCACTACAGTCGGCTCTCGATAACTGGAGTGGTGCACCGAAGCTGCGATCGCTGTCACATCATCTCTCAGCATAGGAACCAACACTACCAAACGATAATGCTCTCCTCAACTCTCCTCAAGTTTGCAATACTCATGTTACTATCGTCCATCAGCTCTACACATGCCAGACGAGCTTTCAAACCCTGGAATTCCCCTCAACCCGACATGCCTCCAAGCCCTTTGGGTACTAGATGATCTCGAGAAGGGATTCCTGATAAAACATCAACAGCCCAAACCATGGTCGAGCAGAATTACGATATTAAGCCTGTTGGCCCTGTTGTGGACATACATATGTAGGTACTTTTTTGCAATCGATATCTTGTGAAGATTCACTTCTATAACCACGGCGCCGGACCGACTAAATGATCGTTAGGACGAGTTCAAAAACAGTGTCTAATACTCATAACAGACCAAGACGTAACTGGAAAGCCGAGAACAATTTAGCAACGAATCGTTGAAACGCATAGAGCGAGAAAAGCAAGCAGATACCGCTGTCCCTTTTTTGTTCATCAGATAGACACATCCTGCCTAGAGACAACGAATACAACGAGCGCTGCTACCACCACCCCCCATCCAATTCTCTACATATCACATACCGACCATTCTGTCTCAACCTCAGCATCCCCCCGACCAGCCCTACTTCACATAACCTCGCATCACATCACATCCCCTTCAAATCAATAACCGGCAACTCACTCATCCTCAATTTCGCACTTCCATACGGCACGAGTTTCGCATCAAAAACATCGCCCAGACACTTTCGTTCACTTAAAGCACTCGGCCAGCCCGGCACGGTACCATTGAGCAGCGGCCAATCGATCAAACATGCACGCACAGTCATGTACATGGGCGGATTACCCGAGGCGAAGATTGGCGTTGGGAGAGGCTCGATAGTACCAATAGTCATCATGTCGTTGTCATCTCCTCCTCCTCCTCCAAGAAGTGGTAATTGACTACCACGTGGATCTTGTTTAGCGATGTGGTTCCTCACCTTTGATTCTCGTCGTGAAGAAGGATGATGGTGATGATGATAGACGAGCGTGGAAGGATCGATGGCAATGTTCCATTCCGTAGCATTGAGCATGATGTAGTCCTTTGCTTGAGAAGGAGCATAGTCCGATCGGTACAAAGTCTTGTTGCGGTAATTGTGTGGACCTGTGGATGAGATTTCTGCCGCAACTTCGAACGCGTAGAGGAGTGCGCCGCGATATACGGCGATGGTGTCATTTGCTCGCGGCTCGGTGCGGATGGAGGTTTCGATGGTGTAGACTACAGTGGAAAGTCCGCTTGAGATGGATGTTTTGTGTAGACCAGTCGTGTCATCATACGTCGATTCTTTCATGGCATTTTCGTTCGACAAGGTGGCTTTGGTGGCCCAGGTGGGTTGACGAATATGTAGATCAAAGGACTTCTGGGCCTGGATCTTGTACACGAGCACGTCTTCGAATGGATAGTTGGTGATGCACTCGACTGTGACGAGACCGCCGCCGATCGTCGTTGTCACCGAAACAGGACTGAGTAGAGCGTGCACCAGTCCATTATCGCCGAGAGTGACGAACGCAGCTTGAGCAAACTTTGGTAGACCTTGTGGGTGATTGACAGTACAGCATGGGTCTGTCCACACAGTTAGGGTCTGCTTGCCTAGGAAAAACCATCGCACTTACAGTCCGGTTCCAGTCCATATGTCTGCGACATGGTGTCGGTGTTGGAGAACGGAGACCATGTCAGATTCTTCGCGTAAGGTTGATTTGGCTGGCTCACGTAGACATGCGCCCACCAGTCATCTGTCATGCCACCTGGGAGGGCATTATACGCTGCTAGCTCAGAGCCATCAGCGTAGAAAGATTCTCCTAGAGCGCGGAAGTTGTAGCTTTGCGAGAACATGACTTCGACAGCCGTGCATAGCTCGGATCCATACCACGGACTGACACCATCTTCTCGCTCGTCGGCGAGGATAGTCCCAGACGGAGCGCCGTGGTATTTCATGGTCCATTGTACGCCATCTCGCGTGGTCTGAACCAGGCTGTCGTTGTACGTAAATCGTCGAATGACCGCCGGAGCTTTGAGTCCTTCGCCAACGTTGACGCCGTGTAAGAAGTGGAAGTGGTCGTCTGAGAACTGGTCGGGAAGATTGTACAAGTCGTCGAATGCATAGCTACTGTTGGTGAACCAGGCCTCCCACTTCCAGCCATACTCATGCAGCATCTGCATGTTCTCCCGCAAGATCTGCTCTTGACCTCGAGGATACTTGTCATACAGCCACTGGAGACTCACAATCATTTCTGCGACTCGGGATAAAAACCAGAAGAAGTAACCGCCATCGATCTCGCTATTCTCCTGCTCGACGAGACCAGTGCCATTGTTTTTCAGCATCGAATGCATCAGAAGGTTGAAGTCGTGCATTGCAGTCACCACGGGCTCTTCATACGTTTTGTTGGCTTCCACTAGATTTGTCCAGGCAAAGAAGATCAAGGTGCGGGCCCAGAGCAGTCGCATTCCACCCTGTTCAGGTCCAATCCAACCATCATCGGCAATCATATGTGCGAAGAGATAGTCCATGGCTTCATGAACCTGATCCTTCAGTCGTTGGTCATTGAGAGTGTAGGCCAATGGCACAATACCATTCAACCAGTAAGGAAAGGCTTCGTTGAGGTTGCTGTATTCGGCGGATCCACCCAGCCATGTTGCGTCGTGGACAAACGAGTAAAAGTCATACAGGTGACCAGCGAGTCCGTTGGCCTCTGTTTCCATTTCGGCGCGAAGCCATCCATTGGGAGTGATGTTTCCCAGAGGGATCTCGGCGTACACAAAAGGGACCACTAAGGAGATGTCAATAGGTGCTGTTCATGGGATGAGCGACAGCAATACTGACGTGGTGTCGGGGTCACCACTGCCGGGGAGGCATCGAAGGCAATGAATTCGTGCATTAGTAGTAGACTAGTAGTATACCTATGAAAGTGGATAGCAGGACAAGGAGGCTCAAGAGTCGTAGCGCTCTGCCGGCCAAGCTCGATGGCCTATCATCGTACTTTGATCATCCCTGCGCGTCTGGGGCAACAAGCTTTCGTGCGGCTGGTATAGATGAGGCTGTGGTGCCTGCAGGCATCTGGAGAGGGGATAGGGCCCAGACTTGATCCGAAACGCCGAGTCTCGAGATCGAAGCAGAAAAATGGTCTTTCAAAGGACCTTTGACACCTGCTTATATGTAGCAGCAGCAAGACGACACTTCAGCTGAGTACAACATGTATCAGGAATTGTGTACGCCCAACCCAATACCGTCACCACTTCTGCCTTTTTACGAAGCTCCAGCTTTTACGTAGCCGCCACTCGTGCCTCGCAAGCCGTGCCTCGCCCATACTGATGCCACGATCCAGTGTATATCGTTTTTAGTGGTGCTTGGAAAAGGGTTGGGGCCTCGGTCCTCTATCAGTGAATACCTTCGAGCTGCTCCCTTGGGCCATCTCTACTGCCACGTTCTTCCACGCCCTCTTCACTGTAAATGCAGGTCCCGATCTTCCCTCTCTTGCCCCAGTCAAGATACTTTATCCCGAGGCTACGCACCAACTTGTAAATGCCAAAGAATGACACCACATCGAGCGAAGCAGTCAATGCCAGCGACAGGCCGATACGTCCCGCATATTGGCTGGCGGCCGACCAGCCATGAGTCAAGGGCCCACCGCCGAATGGAGCATAAAGCATCGATGCGTGCTTGGTTCTGGGTAACGAAGAAGCGAGGAAGCTCGTAGCAATGGTGCGCATCATGAGAGCCTCAAATGGCAAACTCAGCATTCGCGCGAACAAGGAGTCAATGGCATCGGAGAGGAACTGCACTGGAAGCTGTGCCATTATTGTTGAGCGATGAATGGGATCTCTGGTAGCGCCAGCAGCACGCGTCCTGGTATGCATCTCGTACTCGTCTTCGCGACTTCGACGAGGGTCATCGCGCTTGATCAGAGTCCATCCACTACGCTGCAAGAAGCGTGAACGTATGTAATAGCATTGATAGAGCACCCAACCAAGAGGATCCTGTCTGATTTTCGGCACGACGACCTTGGATGGGTCGTCATCGACTTCAGGAAAGCGGAAGTCGGTGATGAGATGGAACACCGGCAGCACACTATCTGCGGCGTCATATGCCAGCATCTTGCGCACGAGGAGGATAGCGGCAGGCGAAGCAAAATTCTTTATGAAACGATTCGAGATGACGCATTTCCAGCCCACGTTGTGGAAGCTCTCAGCATGCCACGGGAGGTAAGACTGAAGGGAAGGGAAGAGGGGCAGGGCAGGTGCCAGGCCGAGCATTTGCGTGGCAGCGTAATACTCGAGAGGTAGGAGTCCAATATCGATGGCGAGTAGGAGAGCCTCGAAGACCCATGCCGTGCCGAGTTCCAAGTACCTCAGAGTTTGACGCGTCTCTACTTTCTTACTGAGGCGAGTCTGTAACTCGCCAGTGAGCTGCTCTGCAGCCATCATGAGCGCGAATCGAACCAGATGGTGCGCGATGGTGCTACCAGCTCCTGGGAAAAGACTGGCAAGGAACAATCGAGTTCCACCTCGCCATGGCTGTCGCCATTCCGTGACAAGTATATCGACGAGAGACCGGCTGGTATGATACCGCCCAATTTGTATGCGCTGGCGAAGGGCAGCTGGCCACAAGTGAAGGAGAAAACTGCAACCAAAGATTGCATGGTCGAGCAATTCTCCCCGTTCGTTCTCGTCGGCGAGTAGATCACGCCGTGCCTTTTGAATTGCGTCGTAGCGAAGACCGTTGATGTGGTCCGTCTCGTCCTTTCTCTCAACTACGCCGACGAGAGCCAGGACTTCATTCTGAGCCCTTCTCTGCTCGGCATTGAAGCGATCGATGGCTGGATTGATAGGCCGGCCCCGGGAATCATATTGTTGGGTATATTCATGTCCAGTCCATTCCTGGGCTGTGGATGAGGAGCCGGGGGAGGTTGCAGCAGGGCTCTGCTGCTGTTCCAAGTCGACGTTTTGGTATGCAGAGCGGCCGAGAGCTAGGCGCTCCAAGTATTGTCGTCTGCCCATAACTGCAACATTCTGATCTGGTCTCCCGTTTCTGCTGATAGCGATGGAGTGTTTGTGGTTATTCTTGTTGCATGTTTGGAATGACTGGATGTGAAAACAATGGAAGAGAGTGATTACATGTAACACTGTAGGTACCTTAGGTTTGGGTGGGTATCGGATATGGGAGGAGCATATCGCCAAGACTGCCAAGACACTAGCGAGACCCCGGTGGTTGCGATAACTTTACTTTCAGCCTCTCAAAAAGTTCTCGACCATCGCAATCGCATACACTCCATATCACCGCTGCCACCGCTGCCACCGCTGCCACCGCCGCCGCTATGGGTCTCGCTGGCAATAAGAAGAAGTAAACACTACCCCTTGCAGCGTCCCGAAATTCCAACTGACTTTGACAGAGGCAAATTGTCTACCGATCCCAACAACACAGCATGGGCCAAATCCACAACATCGTTTGGCCACAAAATGCTCTCGAAGCAAGGCTGGAAACCAGGCGACTTCCTCGGCGCTGAGAACGCTTCTCACGCATCCCACTACACCGCTGCGAATGCCTCCCACATCAAAGTCATGCTTCGAGAAGAGAACCTCGGCATCGGCGCAAAGATTGGCACGCAAAATGCCGAGACTTTTGGGCTGAGTATGTTCTCTGGACTGCTGGGGAGATTGAATGGTAAAGAGGAGGATCGAGCAGTCATGCAAAAGAAAGAGGAGACATTGAGGGATGTGCAGTTGAAGCTAAAGTATGGAAACATGAACTTTGTGAGCGGAGGAATGTTGGTGGGCGATAAAATGCAAGAGGTCAAGACAGACTTGGGGCATTTGAAGGACGGAGGCGTTGTGGCTGTCCAGGAGAGCAAAAAGAGGAAAGCTGGCAGCGATGGCAGTGAGGAAGACGAGAAGTCTGCAAAGAAGAGGAGGAAAGCCGAGGAGAAGGAAAAGAAGAAGAAGAAAGAAAAGAAGGCAAACGGAACTGCTGCAGCAATCAAAGAGATGAAGCGCCAGCGAAAACTAGAAGCAGGAAGCGACACACCTCCCACCAGTAAAGAATCTCCCGAGCAAGAAGCCGATTCAAGTTCCACAACTTCCAGCTCTAGCGAAGACGAGCAAGAGTCAAAGCGTGGTAAAAAGGCCCAGCGAAAAACCTCAAAGAGCCCTAAGCGCAGCTCCTCCTCCTCCTCCGATGTCAAAGATGACGAAAAAGCACGACTGAAAGAGGAGAAACGCGCCCGCAAAGAAGAGCGACGGAAACGCAAAGAAGAAAAGCGGGCCAAACGAGCCGCAAAGGCCTTGAAGTCTTCTTCTACAATAATAACAAAAACAACAACAACACAGCCCGGCTCCACCACCGAATCCGAGACACAATCAGGCACTTCCACGCCGACCTTTCTCGGAGGTCGACAAGCGGTACGACACCGATATATCATGCAGAAGCGCATGGCGGGAGCAAGTGCACAAGCACTACAAGAGATTTTTATGATGAAACCGCAAGTAGCTTCATAGGAAGAGATTTACATTATTATTTGTTTCTTGAGTTTCTCTCTCTCTCTCTCTACTTTGTCCATATGTACCTTGTGTCCACGACTGACTGCCTACGACGGAGAAAAAAACATGCCATTAAGGTAGGTAAGTTTTGATTGGAAAGAGGCCTAGATCGAATCTGCATTACGTTCCGGAAATGCTTCCTCGAAAATTTCATGGTCTTCTCTCTCTCTCTCTTTTATTAAACGTCAAGGCTGCCGTGAGGAGACTACTCGGGCCTGTCTCTCATTACAGCCAGCCAGCCAGCATGACCCGAAGCAGCTTGCTTCCATCAAGCCGCCTCTTCAGTTCGCTGCCCGTCGCCGCCTCATCTGGGCAGAAGGTGCCATCCTCAACCAACCTAACCTAACCCTGCTGCTCCGACGGATACAGCGTCTCCCAAGACTCGCACTCCTTGAGCAGTTTCTCCAATTCTCCCATTTCCGTCTCCATCACCTGTTGCTGTTGCTGTTCTTCCTCGTGGAGGTTAGTACCCTGGGGATCACCATCACCACCATTCCCCTCGCTCGGCAATTCACTCAGCACGCGTGCCACAGCCTCGCGCAAAGGCGCCGTCTGCTCTCGCACCTGATCCTCCTCGACCTCTCCCTCCAAGATGTAAAAAGCATCGAAATGCTGGAGCAGACTCTGCGACATGTCCGTGCATGCCTCTTCAATGCTGTGTAAAAAGTCGCTACTCGAATTCTTCATGTCTTCTTCAACCATGTCGTGGACCTCCTTGAAGACCGATTTGGGTCCTTTCAAGAGTTTCGCGCGAATCAGGCTCTTGCGTAGATCGTGGGCCACGATACCTTGTGTCATATTGATTTTCTTGCGCTTGCCTCGCAATGGATTGGTGTATTGTGGTTCGGAAGGAATTTCCATCTTGGCCTTGTTGATCGCGGCAGCCTTACCGTAGATTGGGTTCATACACTGTCCCACGTAGCTGTCATCTGTGGCTCCTCGAGCGGTAGAACCGCATATGACCGTGTTGTTCTTGATGTTCTCGATCTTATCAGAGTATTTATGGAACAGCTTGTCGAGAGTCGTGCGAAAGTCTTGCTTGGCATCTTTCATATGCTTGAGAAATGTCTTGCTCGAAGGGAGATCGTGAAAGTGCCCATCTCGGAGCGCAGTATTCAGCGCTTGGAACAGGACGGTGGCCATGTCCTCTGCATCCTGTATATGGAATCCGACGATGTGGATGAGTTGTTTCATCATCTTAGTACTATGGCCGCATCGCACTTTCTCAATCTCGCCCAGGAGATTGTTGAATCCATCTACGACACCGCCTTTGTCGCCAGCGATCTTGTGTTGAATACGGGCGTTCCAGCTCACCTCCTTGCCCGCGATTCGCCAATTACCGCTGCGCTTGCAGAAGGCGTGAAAGGTCATGCCGCGTACTTTACGCGTCCAGGAGTCGAACAGCTCTGCCCCCGCTGCAGGCCAGATTTTGTTCCGGCCGTGCTTGAACGGCACAGTAATATGTTCATTAGTCCAGTCCGCTAACACTTGACCAGCTGCTCTGTTAAACAGAGGCGTCCATTTCGTAAACGTGTTCGTAATCGCATCCTTGAATGCCTGGTGTCGTTGAACGGGGGTCTTGTTCAGCACATGCTGAATAGCGCCAATGCTCCTAGGAAGGTCCACTCGGCAGAGACGTTGCAGCTTTTCCATGCGTTTGTGCGCAATGTCGCGGTAGAGAAGACGAAACAGCTTCGGGATACCAGTCGCTTCGTAGTCGAGCATCGTCCGTTCGCCGCGACGATGCTTGCCATACTCTTTCGCCGAAATAAAGACAACCTGAAGATTCGATACTCCTGGGCGAGAGCGTGCTAGGTTGTGATACTGCGCATGGATCTCTGCTTCCTCCTTGCGGTTCCTCGTCTCCACAAACAGCTGATGCAGTTTGGCTTGCGCCCTGTGAAGTTCCACCCGGTTGAGACGCGCAATAGCTTTGTCTAATACGTTCGCTTCTTGGTGCCTATTACGGGCCTCAAGCTCAGCCTGGTCACGCTCTGTAGCTGAGCGTTTCTTTTTCACGTCTTCGACATCCCTCTCGGCTTTGACGATCTCTTCAAGCTCCCAGCTGGCCAGGTCAGCTCTCTCCTTAACGCTCAACTCGTCCTTCAGGTCAATTTTCGTTACGACGAAGATTGTCGGCTTCCTCGACTTGATTGCGTCGCGAAGGTACTTGTCGCTCTCTGCCGTAACGGGACGACCGGCTGGTGCCATAATCAGGTAACGGTTGGGATGTTTTGAGACGTACTCTTCCACCGCCTCGCCCATCGCGAGATCAGAATCGTTGCGCCCCGGTACATCGGTAAAGATAACGCCCTCGCAGCCCATGTCGTTGTCGCAATGGATCTGCGCTTTCTCCAGGTGACGGGATTGGTCCCAGCGTGGCGACTTTTCGGACTGCGCGAACGTCGCGGGCGAGAAGTTGGCGAGGATGGCCGCGGCCTCGCGTGCGCTATTCGCCGTAATCGAGCTAGTGCTAGTACCGATTTTATGTTGCTGTCGGAGTGCTGTGATTCGATGGAGCAGCGGGCGAGCAACAGCAGCCACATCGGAGTGGTCGCCTGGTAGTAAAGCTTCGAAATAGGCCGAGAGGTTTTCGCAACTCTGGAAGGAGGCGTTATCCTCGCCATAGAGTAGCGGCAGCAAATGTCGCAGTGCCTCTTGGTAACGGTGTTGCCTCTCCAGAGCGCCATTGCTGTCGAGCGCACTGCCATCGGCTTCCTCATCAGAGTCGTCAATCTCCTCATCGACGATCGCTTCCGTACGAGCGCCGTCGAGATAGGCCAGGATATCGTGACAACAGGCCTCGACCGTTTTCTGCATTGCCGCAACCAGCTTCCAGACCATTACCACCACAAATGGAGTGGCTTGCGTTGCGGTCCTACTGTGGCCTTCGATAGGGAAGTGCGTACCGCGGCCGCTGTCGCTCTTGATTGCGATGCCATCGTGGCCGATGAGCGCCTCGTACGCTTCCGACTTGCCAATTCCCATGTCACCCAAGAGGGCGACAATTTCATTCTCGTCAGAACGCGCCACGGCGTTCATGCGATCTGCGAACTTCCTTACAAATGCTTCCAGGAAGTCGTCTCGATGACCTTGTCTTGTCAGCTCCTCGGCGGGTTTGGTCACGCGTCGAGAGAATTCTCGGATCTTGTCTTCGACTTTCGCGATGCTTGGATGAAAACCGGGGACATGTGGCTTGTTCCGGGGCCAGTTATTGTCGAATGGTTCGGGTGAAGTCGTAGCCATACCCAGGCTTCGTGGGGAATCCACCACCTCTGCCACTTTCCTCGTGCTTGAACTCACAGGGAATGTCTCTGGCAATATCGTACTTGCAACGAGGCTTCGTGGAGAATCCACCACCTCTTCCTTCTTCACCGTGCTCGCACTCGCCAGGAATGTCTCCTGCAACATCGTACTTGCAACCAAGCTTCTTGGTGTATCCACGTCCTCCACCACCCTTTTCGCCTCGCTCGGACGTGCCGCGAATGTTTCGTCCGTACCTGCTGGAAATATCGTAGCAGCCGTATCGAGGCTGAGTGGAGAGTCCGCTCTCGCCGTCTCACCGGCAGTATGAGCAGGTATCGCAGCCTTGTCGAGGCTCAACGGAGGCAGAGAGGAGAGAGCAGGTGTGGTGCGTGTGAGTGTGCTCGACGGAAGAAGAGGAGAAATCGCGCCTTCACTCGATGTAGAGGAGGAGATCTTCTGGCGTTTCGGCGACGCCGCAGGTTCTTCCGAGTGCGAACGGGCATGCTTGGAGACTGGTGCTGCTGCGGAGACAACAGACGACGTCGTCGTGTCTGGAAGAGTGGCATTGCGAGTGATGAGTTCTGGCATGATGATGGGAAGCGACGACGACGACGACGACTGCGCAGAGGAGGGAGCGGGGTCGTCCATGGGAGCAGAAGGAGGTCGTACTAAGTAGAAGTCAGAATCCAAAAAGGGAGAACAGATACGATGGATGTATACTCAAATTGTGCGATCGATGATGTTAGGTAGTGGCCAATGGGTGATGCCAAGTGCCAGTGTGGATGTTGTTGAAGGTGTGTTCGTTTGTTGAAGCCGCGACGTGGAAGATATAGATGTCGTTTCAGGCCGCAAGCTGCATACGAATGGAAAGTGAGAAAAGAAAATTGCAAAGTGAGAAGTAGAGTAAATCGGTTTGGCAATAGTGAGGTGAAAGTGAAAGTGAAACGAAGCAGACCGAGCACCATCGGGCAAGAGCAGAGCAAAGCAGAGCAGAGCAGGCAGGAGCCAATTGCAATTGCACTTCGCTGCCATCCGCGTGTCTTTCTTGTCTGTTCCATACATCCTAGTCACAAATCGGATTGAGAGGTGCAGACCCTGGGGAAGATGGACCAGAAGATACCAAGGAAAAGGGGTAGAATCAAGGCTCTACAGACCTATGTAGAGTATCACAATGACTCGTCAAAATACTTTTTGAATCTCGCGCTCTTCCGCAGCCCAGCTTCCTGAATCACCTCATGACAAGCCATCAGCAATCGTGGGAAGCGAATACACCAGTAGTTCAAGTATCCCTCATCCAACGGTCCAACGCGTTTCTTGACATCTTCGGGCATATCCTCGTAGTGGTTCTTCTTGTTTCGCAATGCTCGCAGCAGATCGAGGAGTCGACTTCCCGTGTACTTGCGTTGTTTCCCCAGAGTCTGCACAAAGAAAACGTCGAGCTTAGACAAGAAGTCAGGGCGATCGGAATGGGCGTCGATGACTTCTCTGGCACGACTTTCGAGGCGGCACAAGTCGGGAGAGTCTCCCGCATAGTTATCCTCCCACGTCCCACGCACTTCTCGCTCAAAGTGGTCAGAACAGTCACACAGGAATTGCAGGCGCTGTTCCGGAGTCCAGAAGTAGGGATGATTGAGCACCTGTTGCGCCGTCGGTCTGTCTTCCGGACGTGCCGACAGCATACTCGTGATGAGCTGCAGCGGTTCGTAGGCGTCTGACCATTTGGCGAGAGGCTGCATGTCCTTTTTGTCTTGTTTGATGTTCTTGTCGCGAAGACCGTGCCAGCCACTTTCGTCTTCGTATGGATGCACGCCATCGGTCAGGACCCAGAAGAACAGGCATCCCAGTGCGAAGATATCAGCAGCGCGCTTAACACTACTCACTCCCGGAGTCGAACCACTCGGAGAACTGTTTTCGGAGTGCCCACGACTGTGCACACTGTCGCCCTTGTCGCTGGGGTTGTTGATCAGTTCAGGAGCCTTCCATCCGGAGGTGCCGACATTGCCGGTGGGATCAATGAGTGTGCTCATGTTTTCGGGCAAGTTTTTACCCAGACCAAAGTCGGAAATCACCAACCGAGTCGTGCCCGGCGGCTGCGTCGGGCTCGGATGTGCTACCAGGATATTCTGAGGCTTGATGTCGCGATGGATGATGCGCAGCTTGTGCAGATGCAGCAAGCCTGCAGCTACTTGTTGTAGACTTTTCTTCATGTTTTGCTGTATGGCCAGCTTCAGCTTCTGCCGCGTTTGGCGTTGCTCCTCCGTTTTGGCCCGATCAAATTCCCACACATCAAACAGACTGGCTTGGCAGAGCTCGACGGCGATGTACAGAAAGTGGTCATCTCGTTGTCGGCAGAAGTAGCGGACCACGTTGGTATGGCCATCGCTTTGTTGGAGAAAGCTGACTTCTAACTCCACCAGGTCGCAATAGGAGGTGAGCATACGCTTGACTGCGACGTCGCGGCCCTCGAAATTTCCCTGGTACACAATCGTGCCGGCGCTGCCTCGTCCAATCTCCTTGTCAAGATAGATGGAAAGGTTGTTAATTGCGACGGGATTGGTGATGGACAAGGCCGGATCCTCCGATTGGGCGACGCTGATGATGTGCGTGTTGGGATCTGGTGATGTCGGCACAGTCAGTATTCCAGGGGTGTCGGTCTCCGACACGGCGTCATTCTTCTTTGCTGCTCGAGCTTCGGCTTGCGCCAGCTCCTTTTCCTTCTGCTTCCTGCCGCCTCGCCTACCGCGTGTGGCCTTCTTCTTCGGCTTGGGTTCGCCTTCTTTGAGCTCGTCGCCAGGCTCTGCGTCCCCTGTGACTGTTCTCTGAAGAGGCTCTTCCGCAGTGTCAGGAATATCAAAGTGCACTCGGGCAGGAGGAGCTGGTTCGTTTTCGACATGTGCAGGCTGGGGAAAGATCAGCTCTTCGGCAGGTTCGTCTACGCGACGGACAGGCTGTTTATCCGTAGACACCTTGGCCACTTCCGCCAACGGCATCTGCACGCCGGCTTGTTGGGGAATGAAAGCAGCACGAAGTTCTGGCCACTTGTACAGTACCAGGCTGCCTGATACCGCCAGCAACGTGACAGTGATGCCCAGGGTGAAGGCGGTCAGCCAGTGGAGATCAATCGAACCCTTCTCCGATCTAGGTAAAGGTGTATCCATCGCTTCGCTGATGGATGATTTCGATTGGAGCGGCGGCGCAGCATCAATTAGAGGCACATTATTGCCGTCCAGCAATTGCACCTCACTGTAGCTTTCGTGTGGCAGATTATAAACACCTGCAAAGTCTTCCTGATCCCATCGGCGGGCGTCCTTACTGGTAGCTAACGGGGCGTGATATGTCACCGACGGATAGTGTTTCTCGGAGAGTGCATACCAACTGCCGGATTGAGTGCGATTAACATAGACGGGATCAAAGTCTTCGTCGTCGTCCAACCCCGCAAAAGAATGCATGAGGGGTGGTATGGGTTGTGGAAGCACCGCCAGCGATGCATCTTGTGAGAAGTCTTCTTTCGGCCGGATAATGTCGAACACTCGGACCACGGGAGCTGCAAAGACTTGGGTGAAGTCGGGCTTTCTGTACGACTCGGCGGAACTCGTGTCGATGCCACTGATGCGACCATTCCAGTGCGAGTAGACATACTTGTCATCCATAGTTCGGTCATAGGTGTTGCGCAGATCGTTGTCTCGCATGTTTGGGGACCACTCAAAATACTTGATGGTTTCAATAGCCTCTCCCGTAACCCTGTTATGTATACCGATGGTATACTCGGTGCGCCCGAGGACAATGGTTCCGTGGGTCTCGCACTCATTCTCGCCCAGATTGTCGTCGAGAGGGCTGACCAGACGACAGCTCTGGTCCTTGTTGACGTATGAGCCTCCGGGTAGAAAAACATTGCGCGGAAGGCCCGTCTTGGCATCAATATGGTACAGCGTGCTCTTCTTCTCGGCAGTATAAGTCACGCCCAGGTCTCCCGTTTCCTCGTATGGCGCCGCTTCGGACAGCTGCTTGACGGTATAGGGCAGTTTCTGCAATCCAAAGTGGGGATGTAAAACATACATGACCCCATCTTGACTCGGCTCGACGACAAAATGCGCTTCCTCCACCTCTCGGCCATCCGGAGTGTAGGTTTTATTGTGTGGGTGCTGGATGACCTGCACCATATCACTTGTTTCCAATTCCCAGCGCGCGGCACCAGTGCCGCGGTCGCGCGCATACAGCTTTCCATCCACTGTCGCCAGGAGCATGAGATCCTCGACTTGCCAATCCTGCAGAGACCGCGCCGGGTGTCGCGAGGCCAAACCGGGGCTGCTATGAGCCGGTGACCGTGAGGCAGGAGGTGCTCGAACAGCCGGGCCATTGGGTTCGGCTGGAGACACAGTCGCAAGGGCGCGCTGTTGGATAGCTGAGATCCGCGCTTTCTTGTTGTTGTTGTAGCTTTTGTTATTGATATCCTTGATGTTGTTGTTATTGTTGTTTCCTCCATGGTGACTATTGTCGACGTCTGCAGGCCCGACATTGGTATTCTTCTGAGCCTTGTGCTTCACGTGCACATCATGATGGAGCTGCTGGCCCACGGCGGCGTGCCATTGCTCGTCGACACCGGGAACCGAGTCGACGACGTCTCCATCCGGAAGGGCGGCATGTTGGTGATGGTGGTGGTGGTGGTTGCGGTTGCGGTCGGGCTGACTCTGCAGGGCAGCCGCTACTGGCACGAGCAACGATAGCAATAGCAAATCGCGGACTCGCACGTGTGGGTGGGAGCCTGGGGGTCGTCCGGATGGCATGTTGCCATGAACAGGTGGTTCATTGGCCGTACACACGAGAGTCGGGGAGCAGAGACAGCAGCATATGTGTATGCAGTGTGCGTATGGCCGGGAGGGTGGTGGTGGTGCGAGTGGGTGTATGTAATGCAGTTGGGTGTGAGAGTCGGGTGTGAGAGTGTGCGTGCGGGTGGACGGGTGTGAATATGGTGGTGATGTGGTGATGTGGGGGGCGGGAGAAGAGGGAGGAAAGACAAAGAATTGACGGGACAGGGCGCGCGGCGGGAGAAAAAAGAACGAACACTAGGAGGTCGGAGGTAGGAAGAGCTGAAGTCAGCCAACACGAGAATGACGGACGGCAAGGGGAGGATTCCAGGGTGAGGTAGTCTGTTAGTCTGTACACACCGAAGGTACCTGGTAGTCTGGTACAGGTAGGTTACAGTTACCTACCTCAGGCAGTGGTTTAGTCTACATCAGGCCCGTCTACACACACACACACACTGCCCAGGTGTATTTTAGCATATTCAAAAAGCCATCCCTCGATTACACACTGCACCTCCTGGCCGCCGCCCCAGGGAGCACCACCTCCTACCTCCCCCTCCCAGGCCAGGGACAGACTATATCTTCTACCAACATGTACAGCACGATCGTTACCATGGCTCCGATTCAGACTTTGACCGGTGTAAATGTATACTTTTTTACCCTTCTTCTCCTACAACTACAGGTAGATGTACCTCCTAGTTAATTCAGGGCTGAGCGGATGAAAGAAGGTGCACGATCTACATACTGTACACTCGCATTCGTATCACTGCAGCACAATCCTTCGACGATCGACCTTCCCTTGCCTGATGCAAAACAAGAAAAAACTGGGAGGCGGTTTGGCGGGAAGCCAGCTTCTCCTATCCCGGTCTCGATCGAGCAGTGAAGTGGTACGGCAAAGCTGATTCCGCTTCCACCACTACGGATCGTGATACATACCTTACCTAGGTATGTAGGTAGGAGTTAGGTAGGTATACTAACATACAGTACATGTAGTATCCCTCTTTTGTGACCTCGAGTCTCGAGACATCTTCTTTCATTATCATTATCATTATTAAGCCCAGAGTCATTCAAACCAGATTCTATACCTTACCTCAAGTTCTTCAGGAGATTGTCAAAGATAAGGTAAGGTTCCTCCATGTTTGTCTGACGATGCCCGCCTCCTCCGTACCTGGTAAGTCCCGTCTCTCCGTAAGTTCTTAAGGTCAGGTATGTAGACAAGGATGGTGGTTTCATGCGGCTCTTTCTCGCCATGCTGACGGGACGACGAAACCTGTTACCAACCATCCCTGCAGAAACACACTTACCTAGGAGAGATACGAACCGACGACTACAAATTCCACAATCAGATAAAATGCTGGAATATACCGAATTGTACCGGCTACACTACCTGAACTATACCTAGCTGTACATTATCTATACCTTACCCTCTTTACTCTAGTCGCTGCTCGCGTGAGCGACTACTCTGTCATTTTCGGTGACCGTCGTAGTAGTATCAGAGGTATTATAGAGAGACCAAGTTCTCATTCTAATGATACTGAATCCTATAAGATCTCCCCAGCTACCTAGGTACCTATACCTGTACCTGTACCTGATCTGAACAGGTAGGTACCTTAGTGAATTATGCATGTATGCACCGCTCTTGGCTTTTCTGTCTCAACTACAAAATCGAACCATTTCCATTTCCTAGCTACCTTACCTATATGTACTTGTACTTGTATATATTACCACAAGGTAGGTAATGTATCTCATGCGTGAGAGTGTCTGACATAAGAATCTCTTTCACACACACAAGTCGACATATCTATTTGTCCCAAGGCACAGGGTATAGAATGGGTATATATACCTTACTGTCGATTCAAGAGGCTAGGCTAGCATCGCCTTACAGCATGCGCTGATCACACTTGAGCCTGACATGACTGGCTTGATGCAAGGGACTAAGAGAAGAAGTGACGAAAGAGAGAGGAGTGGATATCATAGTCGATCTTGTCGGCGCTGACAGTTTCGAATAATAGTAGATAAGGTAACCGGTGGTCTGATTGCACTCGTAGGTACGCACCTAAGGTATGTAGTGATTTAACTTCTTTTCCGAAAAGCCGCACTTGCAAGTCAAACATCATGCCATCCATCTCTTTCTATTTCTATGCCCAGACCCAAATCCAGCAGAAAGACAGGTAGTGATCAAAGGTTTTTTTCCTGTGAAAAACAAAAACAAAACAAAAATCGTATTGATTCTATTGTTTCTCATGTAAGATGCTGCTTCTTCTGTTGCTCCTGTGGTTTTTGCTTATGGTGGTCCAAATAGGCTCGATAATCATCACACCACATTCGCAAACCTTCAGCAAGACCCACTGTCGGCCTATATCCGAGAATCTCAATGGCCTTGGTGTTGTCAGAAAAGTGGGTTCGGACTGCATCTTTGACGCTTCCAGTGTCGAGAGTTTGGGCTGCTCCAGTCACAAATGTGACAATTTCCAGGACGAATGCGACCATCCATGCGAGCCACAAGGGTACGAAGACGCGGAAGCGTGGTACATGTCCAAATTGAGCCCAAATGGCCGAAAAAAAGTCCCAGAAGTATACGGGTTCTTGGTTGGATATGAAGAATGCCTGTCCGGCTGCGGTCTGCGTCGATAGGAGATTTTCTGCTGCGAGGATATGTGCTTGGACGGCGTTGTCAATGTACATGAAGTCGTACCTAGAAGTGTTGTTCAAGAGTATCGTGAGTTTGAATTGTCTCTCAAGTATCTCTGAGCCTAGTAGTAGAGACTGCAGTCGAAGAGAGAGAGAGAGCAGAAGGGAGACTCACAAATTGTTGCCGTCTCCCACCACAAAATACGTCTCGCCCTTGGTAATCAGGTCATGTATCAGGCTGATGACTGCAATATCTCCCGGCCCAATAATGGTACAAGGCCGCAGAGCACATGCCTTCAACCCCTGGGCAGCATACTCCGGCGACAACACATACTGCTCAGCCATGGCCTTAGATTTGCCATAATGCAAAGTGGCACGCCCCAGCGGAATAGACTCATTCATATTGTAATAATCATGGTCCAAGTCATCAATAACAGCAGTACAACTGCTGGTATAGACAAACTTGCGACAACCAGTCTCGAGAGTGGCCTGAAGGACATTGACAGTGCCGTGGTAATTAATCGCTTTGACCTTTTCCCACTGCTTGCTGTCTCTGCTGTATCGGAGATCTCGAGCAGGGACAATACCGGCACAGTGGAAGACAATATCCGGGCGATAGTTCTGAAAGGCAGCTTGTACACTGTCAGCGGAGGTAATGTCAGCATGGAGCCAGCCGACGACGGTACGCTGCCAATGCTGTTGTTGTTGCTGTATGGCCTCTTCCGGCGGTGAAGCCAGATCCAGAACGGTAATTCTCCAATCCGGATGCTTTTGGAGCAGAGTTTGGATAATGTTGCGTCCCAGAAATCCAGCGCCGCCGGTGACGAGGCACTCGACAGCACCGGAAGTCATGGTGGCGAGGGTCAGAAGATGGATAATATGACATGAATGAGAGAGAAAAAGCAATACGGTATGGATGCAGGAGATGCCGACACAACTAAAACACAAGCCTTGTCCTTGCAGCGTGAAGAAAGTGCACTGACCATACAGCTTGGCGTGGGAGGGAAGTCTTTTTTCTCACAGGTATACTGCTCAGGTATATGATGACTTGAGGTATTACTGTATATCAACCATCTTCCACATCATAGATTGCCTTTTCAGTACCATGTCCAGCCTGTACAGCAAGGTAGGTAAATCCAATTAATTGACACCAGCCCGGCAAAGAAGGTCTGCAACATAGAAAGTCCCACTCCTCCATCATCACCGCCATCCCATTCACACACCTCCTCGAGTCTTCCATCATGAAGATCAACGAGCACACAGGTAGGTTAAACCCCTTTCCCTTCCCACAAAAAAAAACCAACAATCCCGCTGAAAAATATATTGTCTTTCCTACCCATGTGCCCTCCAGCCCTCTCCTCACGCTCCATCCTCCTCGTACCTTACAGCCCCCATCACGTCCCCACCTACCACCAATGGATGCAAGATCCGGACCTCCAAGCAGCAACCGCCTCGGAACCCCTCAGTCTCGAAGAAGAATATGCTATGCAACGCTCTTGGAGATTGGATTCCGACAAACTCACTTTTATCATCTGCCGACCTCGAGATGAAACATCATCATCATCATCATCATCATCAACAACAACAACAACAACAACAACTCCCGGGTCCTCCTCCTCCTCCTCCTCCGATAGAGAAAAAGAAACCCAAGAAGAAAAAGTCCAAAAAGACCAAATAACCGCCACAAAAGACGACTCACCCGACCGCATGATAGGAGACATCAATCTTTTTCTATTTCCTCTCGACTCCTCCTCATCACCATCACCACCATCACCACCATCATCAGAAGCTATCCCTCCTCCTCCACCTCCTCCAAAAATCCTCGGAGAAATCGAAATCATGATCGCCGACAAATCCTCGCAACGTAAAGGCCACGGAAAAACTTCCTTGCTCATCTTCCTGGACTATATTCTCGAGCATTGGAGTTTGATAGGACGGGAATTTTCTTCTTCTTTTTCCTCCTCCTCCTCTTCATCTTCAGACCCTTCGACTTCTTTCTCAGCAGCAGCAGCAGCAATCTCTCCTCAACTGGCATATCTGAGGGTCAAGGTGCATGAGACGAATGTGGGTAGTATTCGATTGTTTGAAAGTGTCGGGTTTCAGAGAGTTTCGGAAACGGCGAATTATTTTGGGGAGATTGAGATGCGATGGTATACTACTGGTGATGGTGATGGTGGTGGTCACACAGGTGGGGAAAAGGCAAGGGAGCTTCCATATCGAATGGAAGCCGTCACAGAAAGCTCGTGAGATGAGATAGATCTAGAGAGGTCTGCAACAGGCGGTGACAATCAACAAATTCAATCAAAAAACTACCTACGTAGCAGCAAAAAGTGTCGACAGCGACACTCATATCATGTCCACCCACGGCGGCCCATGGAGGGCAATAATCATACATTCTGTCATAGTTCGCATCATCATAAAAGTCATTCCGCACTCAGTCGAGCTGGAAAGTGCCAGTTAATGGCGTATCCAGCACACTCTTCCCCACGTACACTTGATACTTCCCATCCGGCACCACCCAAGTCTGATTGAATGCGTTCCAGTACGAAATATCCCGTCTCATCAACGGGAAGCTGACTTTGGCACTCTCTCCCGGCGGGACATGGACCTTGTCGAAACCACGTAGAGTCCTCGTGTTGGGATTGTTTCCCAGACTCTTCTCGGGCACGGGGATCTGAATGTACAACTGTGCTACTTCAGCAGCACTCACCGTTCCTGTATTGGTGATCGTCGCGCTGATCGTGCCCACGCTTTCAAACAACGACTTGAGTCCACCAACGGCAATATCATCACGGTCTGCGTTCTGATTGGTGGTGCCATTAGTGTACACGGGCGCCGTGTTGACAGAGTGGGATGTCGACGTCGCGTTGATGTTAATCTCCAGTCCATCGTAGGAGAATGTCGTGTACGTGAGTCCATATCCGAATTCGAATCGTGGAGTCACGTCGCGAGCTAGGAAGTTGCGGTAGTCGATGTTAACACCTTCGCTAAAGTCGCACTGTGGATCCCGAGACTTGTCGATACAAGGTCCAGCCAAGTCCTTGTAGTCGGAGGCTTTCTTGGCTACAGTATACGGCAGACGACCCGATGGACTGACATCGCCGTAAAGGAGGGACACGACAGCGCGACCAGCATCCTGTCCCGGAAGATGAGCAAATAGAACTGCGGTAACATTATTGTTCTGAATCCACTCATCCACCAGACGTGGTCCAGCGTTGTGAATGACGACGATCGTATTGTCACATTGAGAAGCCACGCTCTTCACCAAGTCATCGCTCTCTTCGTCAGCTAAGCCAGGGCGATCCCATGCCTCACTCGCGTATTCGTTGATGAAGACCAGGCATGCGTCAGAGCTCGGTACCACTTTGGGATCGAACGAGGTGAAGTCGTAAAAGATGGAAGTGTCGTCGTCGTAGGCTCTGGCCTGTATGGCATCATACGGACTGCTGATGTACGCAGGGTTGTTACTGCCACTGCCACCGCCTACAATGAGGGTGCCCATGAACTTTGATGGCGCGCCTGTCACGGGCTGGTTGCGCATAATCTGCTGTTCTTGTGGCTGTTGCAAACTGATGGCTTCTCTGTTTTGAGTCCAGTCTCCCGTCCCAGGATTGAAGTGAGACTGTGGAATCGCGTCGTAGCCGAAGATGGAGAGTGTTTTTGGTTTGTTGAGTGGCAAAGTACCATTGACATTCTTCACCAGAACATGGCCCTCGATTGCTTGACGTAGAAGGGAGTCTTTCGCAGCTGGATCCTTGGCGTCGACATAATCATGCGGCTCCAGGATGTCTGCAGGCATTCCAATGCCCAGGGGAGGGTATGAAGGATCATCTTGACCAAATTTGAACCAGGTAGCCAGAATTCGTGTTGCCATGTCTGTCAGTCGACTACTTTCAAGGCCTTCTTTCGCGTTGGCCAGCTGGTCATTGTCCCAGTAAGCGCTGACTGGCAAGGCCATGTCCAGACCCGCGTTTGCAGAGTCCAGCGATGAGTGCTGAGCATTCCAGTCCGACATGACAAATCCCTGGAAGTTGAACTCGCCTTTGAGCATACCGTTCAAGATCTTGGAATTCTCGCAGCCATAGCTTTGGTTGATCCGGTTGTACGAGCACATGACACTGCCAACGCCCGCTCTGACTGCATCCTGAAAAGGCCAGAGGTATAGCTCATGCATCGTTCGATCGTCAATGTTTGTGCTCTGGCTCGGGATCGTGCCATCATCGTCGTTGATGGGATTCCTGTTGGTTTCCTGTTCGTTGGCCACCAGATGCTTGATGCACGCAATGACACTCTGTTGCAGTCCGATGACAGATTGTGCACCAAGCACACCATCGAGATATGGGTCGCTTGCAAAGCCTTCCCAATTGCGTCCAGAAGTCAGTACTCTGCCGATCGGCCCCACTACTGGTCCCAATGCCACGTTGACGCCCTTTTTCTTGAATTCAGCACCCATGAATACTGCACGTTCTTTGGCCAGCGTCACGTTCCATGAAGCTCCGGCCGAAATACCAGAAGCATATGAGTTCACCCCATCTGTGTCTCTGACTCCGTTTCCGGCATCATGTAAGCACAGCCCGGGAAATCCTATCTTGTTCGCCGATCCTGAAACGCCCACACATCCCGTGTTTGCAGTTCCATAACCAATGGTGAGGTTGTTCATATCCTTTGGGCCCAGCTTCGCAACGGCGTCTTTGGCCTTGCCATAGGCCTCTGACCAGTCCGAATCTCCGCCACCGTAGCCTTGTGGGGATGGATAGACAATCTCGCTGGTCCATTTCACTGCTTGTGCTCCATTGTGCAGCAAAGTGAGCAGCGCGAGGAGTGGCAGCAGCAACAACATGACGATGGTGGCTCCGGTGATCCACTTGTGCTTCTGCACCCAGATATAGGCCCGTTCTCTGCGCCCGTACCCAAGGAGAGGTGAGTCTTCAGAGGTGTGACTTGATGAGGTGACCGCGTGTGCCTTTTCGTTCACAGAATCCATCAGCTTTATGTTGGCGTGATATGTGCAATGTTGGACCGGTAGAGACGGCCTGTTTGCATTGCTCTCGTCAGAGGTTTCGTTGAAGAGATGAGCTGGGTTGAGTTGGTAAGAGAAGAGAAGTGAAGTCAGGATTTGGTTTCGGTGCGAGGTTGAAGTCACTTGCCGTGTCGTCGTCACTGTTTGTGTTCAGAAGGTTGGTGACGGTTGCACTTGACTGCGGTAGTGGTTGTCAAGGGCAATCCCAGTCGATGTTGGTCTTGGCAGCAACTCCATCCGAGATCAGTATCAGAACAACAACATCGTGAGGAGAATAATTGCTACCAGGTATCCTACCTACACTTAATGAACTGTAACTACTATAGCGATCTACGATGTGTGTGCTACGACGCTCCAGAATAGGGCTAGAATACTATGGGCAGATGCGATCAGTGCCCGCAGACGCTCTCTGCCATGAGCCTCCCTCATAGTAGGTTGTGTGATTGATATAAGAATTCATCACCTTCTCCCCAGACACTTCTCTGCTTCTGCCCCTGCCTCTGTCATAGCCCTAAAATACTCACTGGAACCGGTTCCATGTCGAGCAGAGATCTGCATATGGGCATATACCATTGCTGGAATCAAGAAGAGCCTCTCGGGCACAGCTTTATCCCGAACCTTTTGTTCTAAGAAGCCGAAAAAGCTCTTGAAAGTCTCAAACAGTGCGGCTCTTCCACCTTCGACTGACAAGAGCTTTGACTGCACTTCATCATCCTCTCTGTACAGTTCGAGCGCAATCACCATGATGGCGTGTCTGGTCTCGTTGCGGAACATGACACCGTTGCTGGCAATCAAAGCTGCCCATCGGCTGGTGGTATGTTCTCCTCTCCAGACGGCGCACACTTCGCGCAGGTGACCTCGGGCATGACGAATTGCCATTCCTCTGAAGATGTAGAACGCCGGCTCACCGTCCATGCTGAAGAAGATACGATGCAGTGTTGACATGAACCGGCGGTAGACGAAGAAGACGTATTCATACTGGAAAGTCCGCAGAGCCAGCGGCAGACCTTGATATGTGCTTACTGGTGCGAAGAGCTTGGTTAGTGCAGTGCTTAGTTCGACTGCTTGCTCAAACATGAGATGCTTCGTGTTGTTGAGGACTGCCAGAATGGTGTGACGAATGGGAAGTGTTCTTTCGAGAAGTTGACGTGGGCTTTCCTGATCAGGCTCATGCTGCACGTCTGCCTCCGGAGGTGCCACAGTTTCCTCCAAGTGTGTCTGTTCAGGAACAGAAGGCGGCATGCCGGCAGCCAGACAGGCGTGCTGATCCAGTTCAACAATAGCGTTCCAGAGTGATCGATCGTCAGAGTCGGCGTTGTCATCGTGATGCTCGCTCCTGTGCAGACTCAAAGTCATTGCACTGCGCACGCTATTTCCTGACCTGATGTAGGATGCGGTTGTATCAGTGGTCAAGACTTGCTCAGCCAGATTAAGCAACGACATTAATCGAACAGACTTGATATCCACCTCGCCACTCTCTGGCCTTGAAGTCGGGAGACCAGATGCAAGATCTAGCCATCGCGCAACCTTGTCTGGAGTGATATGCGCTTGGTCCTGCGGATATGTCGCGTTGGCCAACGCCAGTACCAGGAGCATTTCTATCATGAAACTTATAGCGGTGTTTTGTGGGCCGACGAGCATGGCTATGTAACTCTGTTCGAAGGAAGGGCGATCTACAACGGGGAAAACAGTGTGCCAGGTGTCGAAATACCTAGACACGAGCTCCATGGACGAAATTAGTGGCATGTCATCGTAGAGAGACGCAACCATAAGGTCCTCCAGGTTCGCCAAACCTCGTTTAGATTTTGGCTCCGCATCGTCGTCGCCAGCAGAGCCACTGAGGCGTGCTTGTCCGACATAAACCATAAGAGGGTCGAAGTGTGGCAAGATACCAGGAGAGTGTGTTCTCCCACGTTTCGACCCATGCTGCGCGTGCCAGATCCAGTCGTGAGTAGCATACCCCGACTTTTTCCTCGGAGTCGATCGGATTGTGTATTTGGTATCCAGAACGTCCTTTGCTATAGCATCTACTCGCTGATGTAGGATTGGCGCAGAATCTTTCGCCAAAGGTTGCAGGCCATCATATCTGCAGACGTCTGCCGTACCATACTTCTCACATTGCAGACACGGTAGAGTCCTGGAGCACTTCACCTTGCGCTGGTGACAAACGGAGCATGAAGCTTGTATTCGGGTTCGCTTACGGTGATGCTGAGCTGAAGCTGTGTCCATTGTGACGAGCAGGAGTATAAAATATATATATGATACTATATAAGAAGATGCGTGAAGAGAGCTCGGCGGTGCTCGGCGAATTTGAGATGTGTTATTAGACCGTAGTCTTACAGCCGGAGAATTCATCCAAAGAGTACTATAGACAACTATTATATATAGTATTGAAATAAAAAAAAATAAGATCTATAGGTAGTATTATATTTAGAGTATATTATAGTAGTTAGTTAGATAGCTAGTTGTTTCTAAACTCCTTAGGATATCTATACTAAGTGTCTATATACTATTAGAGTAAAGCTTGAATTATAGAAGTAACAAAGCACTATTCTAGATAGAGAGATCTAGTATCTTAAGTTATTTTTAAACTATTTAATTTAATTTAATTAATATATAATAGAAATAGAAGTACTAGCTATTAGTATATTCTAGTCTTTTAGCTAGAAGAGTTAATAAATAGTATTATAAGAGAATAATATATATATATATATATATATATATATAGTAGTAGTAGTAGTA